ATCCTAAAGCAAACTCACTAGGGAGTCGCCTCAATGAGCTCAGTGGGTCTCACTGAGTGGGTCAACACAGCAGGGACTGCACTGCGTGCTTCTTTAATGTTTCTGGCGAGAAGTTCAAAAAAACACTTGGATATTTGCCTGATTAAAGCAGACTCAGATTTTTATTTCCCCCGTTTTATTTTATTTTGCCATAAGGCTTGCTCAATTAGTTTCTTAAGTCCATTGCTGTATAATTTGATTAAAATGTCTCTGGGTAGTCCCCGCCCTGACTTTACCTTCATATCGTGATTGTATTCCAAAAGTGGCCTCAAATTTTCCTTGATCGCCTTCCAAGTCTAATATAATGAACTAATCCATTTCTCTTAAAAGGTTACCAACTGTCTATCTCCTGTCCCTTCAGGGACAGCTCCTAAGTAGGATATTGTTAAAGATATTCAGCTCTTAATAAGATGTGAACGCACACATGGTGCCAACTCTTTCTCTTTTTTTCCCCTTTTGGAATTCCCAAATTACTCACAATTCATAATTAACCTATAGAAACCGCTGCCAAAATGCTGTGTGAGGTCTGCAAGCACGAGCGGATCTAGATAGAGATGAGACAGTAGGTATACAGGTGGACCAAACCAGGCCCGTTTTTCCACTTGAAGGAGGTAAAGGAGAGGTGGCCAACTGCCCATCCTTTAGCTATGCTCTTCTGCTTTCTTGGGGAGGGTCTGCAGCCCAGTGGCAAAGCACATGTTTGGTGTTCAAGAAGTTCCCAGGTTCAGTCTCAGACTTCTCCAGTTAGGACAGGGGACGATTCCTATACAGTGGTACCTCGGGTTACAGACGCTTCAGGTTACAGACTCCGCTAACCCAGAAAAAAGTACCTTGGGTTAAGAACTTTGCTTCAGGATGAGGACAGAAATTGTGCTCCAGCGGTGCGGCGGCAGCAGGAGGCCCCATTAGCTAAAGTGTTACCTCAGATTAAGAACAGTTTCAGGTTAAGAACGGACCTCCAGAACGAATTAAGTTCTTAACCTGAGGTACCACTGTAAACGTGAATTTTTCCTTGGTACAGTAGGTGTCAAGGAGCTGTCGGGCAAGCACAGGCCATCCACGGGGCAGGAAATAAATTGAGACTCGTAATGCGATTAGATGTTATTCACAGAAAGTAACGACACAACAGAGTTCCTCTGATCTAGCTGGACATGAAACTGACCCCTGCTTTCCCCCTCCAGCCTCTACCTCTGGATCCCTCCCAAGCAGACGGAGACTGCGGTGAGGGGGTGGGCTCCCCCTCTGGGCCTGCCTTGCACCAACGCAGCCAAAGAAAGGGAAAGACAACTTCTCCTTTTCTCCAGAGCCCAACAAAGCATGTCGCATAGGACAAAGAGGAGTGAGACCTGGGAAGAGAGGAAGTTGTGTTCCCATCTCTAGTATGCCATTACAAAGGGGGTGCCAGTTACAAGTCAGACTGAACCCTAGGATGTTTTGCATGCAAGGCGAAAGCTCTACCAATGAGCTATGAAGCCATCCCCAGATTGGACGAACAGCAAGTGTAGATATTCCCATCATGCTCTTCTTTGAGCATCTCACACGGCTATCCATGTTTGAAGGGTAGAGGTAGGTGGTTAGACTTGCGGTGACACAGCATTAAAAACCTCAGGTTCTGCATCTCAGTAGCAGACGAGTTTATAGGGGAGGAAAGATGAAAATTTGCCACATTCACATTTCTCAGTCTGCTTTTTTTTTTAAGAGTTTGAATTTCTTTCTTTCTTATGTCGCCTCTAAAACTGACATTTTGCAGAGCTTGTAGCTATCCAGAACATTAACTGGATTTTCACATTTTTAGCACATTAATGATGGGGAATATAGGACTGGCATATATTAGCCCTAAAGGGGGAAGCTATTCTAGTACATGTTAAACTTTCCCATCTTGCGACAAACACTGAGAGGGAGAAAAAGGGCTGGTGCTTAGAAATGGGGAGATAGCAACTTCGGTTTTTTAACTGTCTCTTCTTAATGTGGCTTTCCTCCCATGAATGGTGCCAAGCAAGCTGTTGAATTGTAAGGTCAATCTGCTGTCCATGCGGAGAAAAAGAAATCGGTGTTGTTAATTATCCTGCTGATATAAGCAGGGTGGGATGTATGCTGTTGATTCCTCAGGAACGCAGAATGTGGTACGAAATCTGGGTCCGGTTTCCTGAATAGCTCTGCTTTCTTTCTTCTCTTTTCCGTTTTTTATGGCAAGTTTCTAGTCCCTATGGATGTGGAGATATGCTTGAGGAACTTCTGAAACCAGATGGGTGGCTGCCTAACTAACTAAGATCTCCAGTGGTTGGAGACTGAGCGTCTGGGGTCTCTCGTGGCTCATTCAATGACTAAGCGAACAATTGCTGAAAATGCATAAAGGTTACAGGGTGTTTGCAAAATAAAAGCAATTTGGCATTCTCCCAGTTTGCGTAACCTATGCAGATTGTGGGATTTGGCTTTTCCGTTGTGCTGAATTTGGAATGCCTAGGTGGGTAGATTTAATTTTATTCCAGTGCAGAGTACGTGCTGCCCTGTTTTATAAGCCTGGTGACACAGAATGGCGTCGTGCCTGCAAACGAGAGCTCAGCAGGCGCTTCTGTTCGTCCTTTCCAGTGTTTTACTGGCAGCTTTTTTTACTAGCCCTTGCTCCTGTGCTTCCAAGTGCAGCCAGATGTGTAGGCATGAGAAGATGGTGATGATACTCACCACATCTGGAAAAGCCTCGCCTGCTGGTTTCTGCAAATTTCAGTGCTGTTAAAAGGAACAGATGCAGCAGCTGGGTAGCTCAGTCAGCAGAGCATAAGACATTTAATCTCAGGGTCGTATGTTTGAGCCCCACCTTGGGCAAAAAAAATCCGGGGGAGGGGGTGGAATATGACGTTTGTGGTCCCTTCCAACTCTACAATGCTGTGATTCTAAGATACGGACAATTTGGGGTTGGCACTTGTTCATAGTAGACTTCCTAGAATTCTCTCCATACACACTGTATATGGATTTGGTTGGCTGGTTGGAATTGGATCAGCATAACTGCGCATCATTGCAGGTATAGTTTGTGAAATTGTTTTGTGTAAATCTAAGGGTGAAGGTTCAAGAAAAAGTTGGTTTTAAAAGGTGAAACAGTGGTACCTTGGGTTAAGTACTTAATTCGTTCTGGAGGTCCGTTCTTAACCTGAAACTGTTCTTAATCTGAAGCACCACTTTAGCTAATGGGGCCTCCTGCTGCCGCCGCACCGCCAGAGCACAATTTCTGTTCTCATCCTGAAGCAAATTTCTTAACCTGAAGCAGTATTTCTGGGTTAGCGGAGTCTGTAACCTGAAGTGTATTTAACCTGAAGCGTATGTAACCTGAGGTAAAGGGAGCCCTGACCATTAGGTCCAGTTGTGACCGACTCTGGGGTTGCAGAGCTCATCTTGCTTTATTGGCCGAGGGAGCTGGCGTACAGCTTCTGGGTCATGTGGCCAGCATGACTAAGCTGCTTTCTAGCGAACCAGAGCAGCCCACGGAAACACCGTTTACCTTCCCGCCGGAGCGGTACCTATTTATCTACTTGCACTTTGACGTGCTTTCGAACTGCTAGGTTGGCAGGAGCAGGGACCGAGCAACAGGAGCTCACCCCGTCGCGGGGATTTGAACTGCCGACCTTCTGATCGGCAAGTCCTAGGCTCTGTGGTTTAACCCACAGCACAACCCACGTCCCTTGTAACCTGAGGTACCACTGTATAAAAAAGGGAGACAGGGGATGAGATTGCAGGGTTTTATTCTTTTTTAATACAGCCTATCAGTTGCATCTTCTGTAGTTTGGAATTACATTGGGTCGTGGTGGAGGGAATCTTAATCCATTCCAAGTGGCTTTTTCCCGTACAACCACGCTTATTCCCCTGCAAGTTATACACACTACTTTCAGCAAATGGGACTCTCCTAATGACGGGGCCTGTAATTGAAAATTAGTTTACTGCAGTCTTCACAGCCTCTTGAGACTAAATATAAAAGCAGAAATGCATATGTCCATGTACAGTATAGATGTATCACACACACACACACACACACACACACAGAGAGAGAGAGAGAGAGAGAATACCTTTCAAACATTCAGTGTCTGCAGGCTATGATTAAATGAGATTATTAACATTGCGAAGTTTTTGTGCAGGGTTTTACTGTCAAAGTAAAAAATTGACTATTTTACTATACTATTTGCAGAGTTCAGAAATCTCTGTTGAAAAGGAAGGTGCATGTGTGTGTTTAAGGGATGTGAGGTGGGGCGGGGCGGGGCGGGGGAGGCAAGGAGAGATTCAATCTTGATCCTTTTTGTCTCTGGAACCAGCAGGCTGGCAAGTTGAGAGCCATTTGCAGGTTTGCCAAAAGCACAATTAGCTAATAACTGGCTTGAAACTGTTAGGGATTTGATGTGTGTTTTTGGTAAATGGTTCTGAAATGATTGATGGAATTGGAAAGAAAGCAGTAGGGTCTAGCTAAACGCTTTAATTTTGAGAAACGGGGGTCACCGGTCCTCTGTGTTTAATTGCCAAAATTTCTTCTCCAAACCAGTCTTGCATCACAACACACACACACACACACACACACACACTGCTCTTACTCCCTCCCTAGCCCAGCTAATTTGTCCCCTGCTGGCCCACAGTTACACAATCTGACTCTTTCTAGCCATTTTTCATCCTTTACTGGGTTGATTAAGGTGAGATTGTATTGGTGCCTGGTTGCTCTTGGTTGGCTGTATTGGTTGTCAAGCCTCTTTCTCCAGTGACAATAAATTGATGCCTTCGTGGGGCAACTTTTGCATCAATATTTCCAGAATGGAAAGCATGAGTGACTTAATGGGGTGCATTAAATCAATTCATTAATCACATATTCCAAACGTAGATTTATTAAAAAATGATAACAATCCGACATTAATCGGAGCCAGTCTTCCTCACCCCAAGATCATTCTAGCAACAAAAATTGCAGTAGCATCTGTTGAGCTCAGAAATGCATCTCAAGACCGTTTTCCAAACAACAAATGGTTTTTGTTCTGCTGCTTAGTCAAAAGAGATGCTGTATGTTTTTGTGTGTTGTTTAATATGAAGACATAATATTAATCCCAGCTTCTCCCAAGGGTAGTTTACAACGCGAAACCGAAAATCCCAAGACGAGAAAAATAGACATTGTTTGCAGTGTTTGTCGTGTTTACAAAGAACAGCAAAGCAGGACAAACTCCAAGCCCAGGTTCCCTTTTAGTGAGATGGGTTGTCTATTTCTGACACACGTCACTTTTCCATGTGTTAGGCCTACCCTGTTTCCACAATAATTCACGATTATTTTAAGTGAATTCCAAAAAAAAAATTGCATTCAAATTGATGTACGAACCCAGGAGGTGAAAATGAGGGCCATTCAGTTAAAAATGTGGACCAAACCAAATTCTTCTCCATCTCTGTTTTCTCTCATGTTTTCTCTCCCTGCATTCAGTCTCCCTGTCTCCTTGAACCTCTGTTAAAAGTCGCCCCTATTCTCTGCTTCTCTTACCAGTGACGGCATTGCACTGCAAACCCCACACCCTCCAACATTCCTCAGGTGAAAATAGGAACGTTTCCCACCTCCCCCACCACAACCGACCCTCCTTGACCCCCCCCCCCATTTTTTGTCTGCCCGTCCTCCATTGCTTTTAAACAGAAATAATCTGTAGGACGGCCAGGGCTGGATTTAGGTTTGATGAGGCCCTAAGCTACTGAAGGTAATGGGGCCCTTTCTATGTCCAGCTATCCTTTGTCAACAACAAATTGTCTGTGCTGTTTTTTGTGTTGAATATATGCTATATGGCAATTTATGGACCTAATAGGTATCTAAAGCCATTTCCACATGCAGAATGTAGGCACCCTATATATTGTTGTTGTTGTTGTTGTTGTTGTTTAGTCGTTTAGTCATTTCCGACTCTTTGTGACCCCATGGACCAGAGCATGCCAGGCACTCCTGTCTTCCACTGCCTCCTGCAGTTTGGTTAAACTCATGCTGGTAGCTTCGAGAACACTGTCCAACCATCTTGTCCTCTGTCGTCCCCTTCTCCTTGTGCCCTCCATCTTTCCCAACATCAGGGTCTTTTCCAGGGAGTCTTCTCTTCTCATGAGGTGGCCAAAGTATTGGAGCCTCAGCTTCAGGATCTGTCCTTCCAGTGAGCACTCAGGGCTGATTTCCTTAACAATGGATAGGTTTGATCTTCTTGCAGTCCATGGGACTCTCAAGAATCTCCTCCAGCACCATAATTCAAAAGCATCAATTCTTCAGCGACCAGCCTTCTTGATGGTCCAGCTCTCACTTCCCTACATCACTACTGGGAAAACCATGGCTTTAACTATACAGACCTTTGTTGGCAAGGTGATGTCTCTGCTTTTTAAGATGCTGTCTAGATTTGTCATTGCCTATATATAGAAATGAGCAAACCAGTGATATTTTAGGGAGCAGGCTAGCAAGCGGGGCCCCATTACTCGCATCATAGGAACCTACACAACACAAAACACTATTTCTGTATGTAGGTTTTTGTTTTATTTGTTTTTTATCTTATATTTTGGAAATGTACACCCAGGTGTTTTTATTTTCTTTAATTTTTTTTGGGGGGGCCAAGAGAGTGGGGCCCTAAGCTATAGCTTATTTAGCTTATATGTAAATCCAGCACTGAGGACGGGGACTCAGTTCAGCTCACTCAGTTGCTTTCATATTGCCATCTACATTTGTTTTCCTTTCTCTCTTTTGCTTTTGTTCCTGTTGTTTCTCCCCTAATGCGATGCCAGCTTTGCAGATGTGAGCTGGTCCGGCGATGAGTCTAACCAGATGTGCAGCGCCAGATGTTTACATTTGCATGCACAGTTACTCCCAGGCTCATTGTTAATTTATTATTTTCCCCCTCTCTGTCTCCTGTTAGGTATGATTATCGTGAAATGCTGCACAATGCCACTTTCTGTCTCGTCCCTCGTGGCCGGAGGCTGGGATCCTTCAGGTTCCTGGAGGCCCTGCAGGTAAGATCAACCGTTTGACTGGAGACTTGGAGCCGTTTAGCACTCCTGTCAGCTGGAATTCTGTGCTGCGCAATGGCAAGGCAAAAGGAAGGCGGATTGGAGATTTCATTTCCCTAATAGTCCATAATCCGGCATTCCTACTTCAGGAGCAGTTGGCAGCTATTTTGCCCGCACCAAAGCTGGGTTGACTTAGCCTATGGTTACCAGATTTTTTTCAATGAATCCGGGGACACTTTTTTATTTGAAAGCTGAGTAGCAACAGGGAGTCAGTAGTGGGAATGGTGAGGCAAAAAACCCTGGGCCCAAGCACACATGCATATTGTATAAAGGTGCAAAGCCCCTCTTTCGCACCCTGTGAAACATAAATGCGCAGTTTTTTAAAAAAACTGGGCAATGGCGTGCCACCGTCCCGTGACTCCCAAGCCTTCCCTGATCTCCTGCCCCCTTCCCCCTTTGTTTTGACAATTCAGGGGAGGCTCGGGAGTAGCGGGCAAGCAGCCATTGCCCAGTTAAAAAAAAAACCTGCACATTTATGTTTTGCAGGGTGCAAAAGAAGGGCTTTGCACCTTGCCTGGCAGAGAAACCACACGCCTTGCTCCCCTCCTGGGCAACAGCCATCCGCCCGCGACTCCTGAGCCTCCCTCGATCTTTCAAAACAAAGGGGGAAGGGGGCAGGAGATCTGTACCACCAGACGTCCCCGGTTCACGTTTGGCAGAGGCAGCAGCAGCGAGTAGCGAGCAACTCCTGAAGCCAGCCAGAGCTAACTGCGCTACCAGGCTGCCGCTGCCACGTTTCCCGGGGACGGAGTTGCAAATCTGGGGACATTCCAGGGATGGAATTTGTCCGGAGACAGATTTGTAAATCCGGGGACTGTCCCCGGGAACCAGGGACGTCTGGTAACCCTAACTTAGCCTAAGAGGGTTTGTTGAACTTGGGGAGGTGGGTGGTGGGGGAGAGAATCTATATTCCTGGAGAAACACTGACTTCGTCCAACCAGGAAGTTAGGAGGAAATAAATAATACAGCTCATTGTTTTAATTCAGCCGAGACAAAATTGCCTATAAATTCTGCCCGGGTTTTCACATTGCATACTAAGTAAGTTTTAAGTGACGGCATCAATTAGGTTGGATTTTGAACAGGCAGGCGACAGGGAAGCAATCTGCAAGGGAGAGCACGCCCAGGGTTAAAATGGCATGAAAATAACTGTTAAAAAATAAAGGGCATCTCTGCAGCAAAAGGCTGGGGTCGGGAGGGTTCTGCTTTGCCGCGGTGACGTCTGTCCTTGACCCCGCATTGATCCACCAGGATTTCAAAACAGCAGGCACTGGAAACGGTAGGGTCAGTTGTGAATGGCACAGTTGTGAATGGAAAGGAAATGAGCCTGTTACCATGGCACACAAGTGGAGGTGCGGGAGGCCATGCCATAAAAGGAAAGATGCCGCATTTACAAATTTGGATCCCACAAAACAAAACGCCTGAACCATCAAAGGCCGAGACAGAGAATATGACCGAAGCTGTAAAATGAAGTTGCTGGAAGCAGCCCTGTGGAGAAGGGCTTCAGGAAAGGTCTGTTCCCAGCTGGAATTCCCCCACACTCTGTGGGTGCTGGAGCTACCGAGAGATATAAATAGAATACAATGGAATCCATATATCAAAATCTAAAATTCTAATCACTGATATAACCAAGCTAGGAATTAATAGCCAGCTTGGGTGAACAGGGGAGTTTTAAGGAGGCACCAAAAGCTCATCAGAGTTTGGGCTCACTTTCTTTAGAGGATATGGAATTCCGTAGGCTGGGTGCCAACACAGAGAAGGCCTTTCCCACTGGGTTGCCATGGAATGTGCTTCAGCTGGGGTCGGTAAAACCAGGAGAGCCTTTTCTGAGGACCTCGACATGCAGGAAGGTCTTTTGTGGGTGCAGGCCTTCCTCCAGATAGCCAGACCTGAAGTCGTTAGGGCATTGTATATCAACAAAAGCACCTTCATCCCTCGTAACCTCTCTCAATGGGTGGGTGGGTGGGTGCATACACACACACACACACACAAAGAACCTAACCACATGATGCTGCCACAACCCCCTACGCTAACTGTGTGACAGAATGAAAGAACAACACCCCCATCTCTCTCTCTCCCCTCTCTTTTCCCCCAACTGCAAGATGTCTATGACAAAAGTGTCTCTCACTATGTGCAAATGAACCGTGAAAAAGACTCTGTGAGGTGTCATGTACTTTCCCATGTTTTGAAAATCTTTAATAAAAAAACCTATTATTTATTTATTTTTAAAAATAAGCACCTTCGTTTTGATTCAGTAGCAAATCAGTAGCCATGGCAAACCCTTCAGAACCGGTGCAATATGATTGCGATAGGGTGGCCCACGCAGCGACGTAGCTGCCGTGTTCTGCATTTGCTGGACCTTCTGACCCAACAGCAAGCCCACACAGGGGTGTACCAATGGGCCTGTACCAATCTGTGTGTACCCATGGCATTAGAGGGAATAAACAAGGCCCATTCTGTTGATGGGCTTCACACTCTTTCTCTGTGGACTGAGTATATGAGGACCTGCCAGACCCAAGGTTCAGTGATCCTCAAAATGTGGCATCGCAATGGTCCCACAATACTTTTCAACATAATTCTCTATTAAAGTCCCATTTCTGCAGAATAGGCTGCAATTTCATTGCCACGGGGCCTTGGAAGGGCCAGCGTGCCTTTGCTGCAATTGTTTCCATTTTCCTGATTTTAATGATTGCCTACGCAGGCTGCCTGTGTTCCTGTGATGCTCAGCAATGGATGGGAGCTACCATTCTCCGAAGTGATTGATTGGAATCAAGCTGCCGTCATAGGGGATGAGAGATTGTTATTACAGGTAAGGCGGGAGGAGGGGAGGGAGAAACCGCGGCCTTCGTCAGAGTGGTTGACAGTGGCAGCCATTTCCCACACTTCCAGGAAAGATGTATCCGAAAGGTCACGGCTATAAAAGAGATTTTTATCAGGAGGGATTTGTCTGTGTCATTGTGAATATTAACTCATTTAATAAGGCATCATTCACTTTCTGACATGAAGGTCACTCAGGCCTCCAAATGTCTTGGTTAAAAATGTACGAGCAGCTCATTTCTTTTTTAGAGAAATGCGCACCAGCTTCTGAGTTGCAAAGTGCTTGGAAGGGAAAAGTTTCTTTCAACTTCCAAGATATTCATGGTTCTGAACGGTCTCAATGGCTGGTATCTGACTTACCCTCACAAGAGACCAGTTGAAGTCGACAGATTTAAATAGGTGTTTTGAGGTGTAGACGTGTACTTTTCATTCAAAGTACACATTTATATGTGTGTTTTGATGGTTTAAACATTCGAAGGGTAGATTCTGGTGGGTAGCTAAGTTCCAATCCACATATTAGTCCAAGAGCTGCAGATCAGTGTGGAAATTTTCAAAGTTCATATTCCTCAAAACAAGACACCGGACCCTTCCTAGTCTCCTATTCCCCTTTCTCTAGGGGGACAGGAACTTGGATGCAATAGTATTCCACACTGCAAGACATTATTTGGTGGCAGCTCAGAATGGCTTCACAATGGGATATGATGTAGAAACATGGGGAAAGGATGGACGTGTCCCTTCGATCCTTTTCTCCTCTTCCATGGGCCAATTATTGCAAACCAGTAGTTTCTTGGGAAGAGAAAGTGAGACCAGCCAAGCTACACAGTCAGGCCAGGCCCACACAGAGATACCATTTTGTATATAAAAATTTTATTTGCTTTTCTGTTACATATTTCACATTTATACAATAACCACCCAAACACTCCCAATAGTCTCAATTTCCCTCCCGCTCCTTCCATGGTGTCCTCAGTTACCCACCTACTCTGCATATGCTAACTATTCCATACCTTCCCCTCTCGTCTTCTTTTTACCTCACTTTTCCTTATACCTCTGAATCTACTCTAATCCTGCTAATGTATTTACCTGCTGACACTGCCTTTTAATACAATCTACAAATATATTCCAATCTTCCTTGTACGTTCTATCATCTTGATCAGACCTGCTAATATTCCAACACCTTAAGATACCATTCCTCCTTCTCCAGTGATTTGAAATACACCATTATGTAATGCATGAGGATATAAGGTGAGCCCTGGGGCTCAAGGCCTTTTTGTTTCCACGGCGGCCTACCAGATACTTGTGGACATCCTGAAAGCAGTGGACCTGCTCCCATTTTGTTGCTGTTGTTGTTCAGTCGTTTAGTCATGTCTGTCTCTTCGTGACCCCATGGACCAGAGCACGCCAGGCACTCCTGTCTTCCACTGCCTCCTGCAGTTTGGTCAAACTCATGCTGGTAGCTTCGAGAACACTGTCCAACCATCTCGTCCTCTGTCGCCCCCTTCTCCTTGTGCCCTCCATCTTTCCCAACATCAGGGTCTTTTCCAGGGAGTCTTCTCTTCTCATGAGGTGGCCAAAGTACTGGAACCTCAGCTTCAGGATCTGTCCTTCCAGTGAGCACTCAGGGCTGATTTCCTTCAGAATGGATAGGTTTGATCTTCTTGCAGTCCATGGGACTCTCAAGAGTCTCCTCCAGCACCATAATTCAAAAGCATCAATTCTCCGGCGATCAGCCTTCTTTATGGTCCGGCTCTCACTTCCATACATCACTACTGGGAAAACCATAGCTTTAATTATATTAACTAGTATTCAGGGGCATATTGCCTCCAGCTCTTGAGGCAGTGCTTGGCCCTCCTACCGATCGCCATTAATAGCACGAGGCTCCATGAATTTATCTAACCTCCCATGAAAGCCGTCCAAGTTGGTGGCCATTGCTGTTCCTTGCAAGTAGCAGGTTCTGCCATTGAATTACGCCCTGTGTGAAGCAGCCCTCTGTTTGGTCTGTCCCGAATTTCCTACCATTCGTCTTAATTGGATGACCCAGTATTGTCAGGGACTGGACCTAAGAGGAGGGGGAGAAGGAGGGTTGGAGATCGCCCCCTCCTTCTCCTCTGCTTCCCTTGGAGGAGGACAGGGAATGGTGGAGATTGCCGCCCCCAACCTTCTCAACCAGTAGCTTCCAGAAAAAAGGGAGACAGGATTGAATTACAGCAAAACTCAGAACAGCTTAGTTATGAGGTGTTAGGAGAAGGAGGGGGAGAACAGCCAGCTTGGATAGCATAGAAGAGCCACCCTCCCCAAAATCTTGTCACCCAATTAGAGTTCAAGAGCGATGGGCTCAAGGACATTTGATTACTGCTCCCCCCCCCCCGGTAGAGCCAAGGGCTGTTGCCGGGGAGAGAAGGGCAGGAGCTCAGAGTGAGCAATGCCACTATGGAGTAAAGGACAGGATTCTTTGTCTTGCACCACGATGACTGAATAAAACCCCAGGCCTGACAGCAAGAGAGGAAGGGAAAATTCACCCTATTCATTTTCTCCCTGACGGTCCTGATTTTATGCACCTCTGTCTGCTCTTCCAACGTCAGGGAAATAGAGGCACATCCCTGCATCTTGATGCATCCGGATGCCAGGAACTGAAACTATGCAAAGCATAGAATCAAAGACTTGTAAAGCTAGGATCATCAAGTCCAACCCTCTGCAATGCAGGAATACAGTGGTACCTCAGGTTACATACGCTTCAGGTTACATACTCCGCTAACCCAGAAATAGTGCTTCAGGTTAAGAACTTTGCTTCAGGATGAGAACAGAAATCGTGCTCCGGCGGTGCTGCAGCAGCGGGAGGCCCCATTAGCTAAAGTGGTGCTTCAGGTTAAGAACAGTTTCAGGTTAAGAACGGACCTCCAGAACGAATTAAGTACTTAACCTGAGGTACCACTGTATACAGCTATCCCATATGGGGATCAAACCTGCGACCTTGGTGTTATCAGCACCACGCTTGAACCAGCTGAGCTATCCAGCGGTCCAGCGCAGCTCTATTGCTTGATGATGGCCCCTGCCATGCAACCGAAATATCTAAATCATGCACATTTTTTAAAATCTGCATGACCCAGCTGCAGGATCTGGGCTTTCTGGTTGCAGAAGGCAAAGGGAAGGAAGGATTCCGGGTCTCCCTCTCTTCTCTCCCCGCTCCACTTGCCTCCCCACATGGGGACATTAATGTTCCAAATCTTTGTCCTGTTCTTGTAATGCAGAATTGATTCTCTTCACAGCTGCTTCCTTACCAAGGCAAGCTACTACGCCATTATTAACAGTGGTTTTTAAAGACCTGGCGCTGGGCCAGAATGTCTGCTCTGGGAAATGTTTTTGTTGTGTTACAGTTTCCCATTTCTCATTTTTAGACTAGCTCGGATGTTTTTATTTACATATTCTCTTCATCCTTGCACCAGCTCCCACTCCAGGAAGCTTGAACCAGTTAGACGCTCTCTGTCTCTCTCTCTCTCCCCCCCCCCTACCCTACCCTCCTTTTTTAATGCAAAAGTCATTCCCCCTCCCCACCTTCTCTTCCCCATTATTACACAAATTACCCGCTATTAAAACGTCATCCCTTTCTAATAATTCTAGTGTATTTGTGGCAGATCAGCACAGATCCATCATTTCTCACACCCAACTTCTAGGCCAAGAAGATTAATAGCAAATAGCCAAGCACGGTTAAAAATGGGAGCTCTGGTTTCGGCTCCCATCTGTTAGAAGCGAATCAACTCACCCAAAAATATATAGTTTAGAAAATAAGCTTTCCCCCTGCTTTGCAAATATGAATGGCTCGCTCTGTCTAATGGATTTGATGCTTCTTCGTTGCACACACAGGTATATATCAAAAGATTCGGCTGAAAGCGCTTGGGCAAAAATAACTTAATGCGATCAATGCAAATTTATACTGCAAAAATAGCTGCCTAACAAGTAAAAATGCATACGCTTAAACATTGCAAAAAAACCCGTCTCCAAATGCACGTGGCCATTAAACATTCTACCTGTACATATTGCCCAGATATTTTTGCCCTATAACGTTTTAGCCATGAGCAAGGCTGCAAGAACAATTCACAGTACCGGTTTAGTGAAAAAACAAATAAAGTGAAAGTAGGCTGCAATTATAAATGCACTTACTCGTGAGTAACCCTCATTGGATACATGGGGCTCGCTTCTGATTGCACAGTTAGGTTTGGGTATTAGGTTATCTGTTGCAATCTGCCTTAGGAAGAGGTTATTTGGAAAGGCAACTGAGCAGTTTTTAAATAATATTCTAGCATCATAGGAAAAATGCACCTTCTGCATCATAACCGGGGTCTCAGCAGTCCTGGTCTGGCTCTGAACAGTTGATATATCTGGCTGTTCTCCTCCTCCTGGCCATATTTTCAGTGATGGCTCTAATGCAGGAGTGGGGAAACTGTGGACCTCCAATTGTTGGACTCCAACTCCCATCAGCCTCAGCCAGACAGCCAATCTTCAGGGATTCTGGAAGTTGCGTGTCGAGGACCCCCAAGACACCCCTGAATAAAAACATGTTCACACATCATTTTTGTTTTTGGCATAATTTTGGCCACAACTTTATTGAATTACAGTAAGTGAGTGGTTGCTTAGGCATTGGTTAGCGACCATCTGTTCCCACTTGGAGGTGGGAACAGAACTGACAACCACACCCATGCGGAAGTCAGTAAGGGTAAACAATTTTGGGGAGAGAAAAAGCTGGGCACCAGGCTCTCCGCTCTCCCCAAGGGCTCCCTGGGGTTCTTGCATGGCCCTAGCCCTTTGCCAGGGATATGGACAAAAGCATGGCGAGCCCCTGGATTCCTTTAATGGAATACCCTTGCAGCAGCAGCATTGGAGGGGCAGGCACAGCCAACCACATCCCCTCCACCAACCCAAAAATTAACCAATGCCTAACTGCAACCTTACAAGTTGTGACGATTTGCTATGAAGTAGGCGAAACCCAAATGGCACCAGCCAATCAGCCAAATGGTAAAATTCCTACTGGGCCCCTGCCTCAAGAGCAGACGATCCCATGACAGGCATAGCAAGGTCAGAGTCAAAAAGGTACCCCTGCCCGTACGGGCCAGTCTTGACAGACTCTCGGGTTGTGCGCCCATCTCACTCAAGAGGCTGGGGGCCAGCGCTGTCCGGAGACACTTCCGGGTCACGTGGCCAGCGTGACAAAGCTGCATCTGGCGAGCCAGCGCAGCACACGGAACGCCGTTTACCTTCCCGCTGGTAAATAGTCCCTATTTATCTACTTGCACTCGGGGGTGCTTTCGAACTGCTAGGTTGGCAGGCGCTGGGACCGAGCAGCGGGAGCGCACCCCGCCGCGGGGATTCGAACTGCCGACCTTTCGATCGGCAAGCCCTAGGCGCTGAGGCTTTTACCCACAGCGCCACCCGCGTCCCATAAGGTCAGTGCAAACAAACCCTAAATAATGGGAGGGTGGGTGGGTAATCCGATGTGCACAGCGAAAAGAAGAAGCTCAATTCTGCGCACAGGGAACATATATAGCACCCCCATCAATCAAATAAAATTGCAACAATCAATTCCCCCCCAGCAACATTGAAGGTGCCCAATCAAATCTGTGGCCATCCAAACTAACCTGCCCAGGGAATGTCATGGTTGCTCCCACCGCAATACGTGCTCTCCATGAAGGAGAACCCGCTTTGTAGTTCAACAACCTATCCCATTGCCTTGGGACCTTTTGTTTCACACCTGACATTCATTATGGGCTTAATGTTTTGCTGAAGCAATCTCAGGAAAGTTGGGCATTTCAAACTGAGCTGCTTTTAGTTGAACTTGATGCCAAGTCTATATGAAATCTGTGCTTGACATAAGGAGATCCTTGCCACCAAGCTGTTCCCCCTGCCCCTCCCAAGAGGCTATGCAGAGAACAGATGTATTCTAATTAAGAATATTTTATTGGGAAATGGATTTTCCCCAACCCCCTCCGATAAGTGAGAAGGGTGTGCGTGAGTGAGAAAGCATTCGCTGTGTGTAATCTAATATCTAAGAGGAAAATGCAGAGCAGCACAAATCAAAAGCAAACATAGGTGCTTGCCTTGTGCATAATTAGTCCGGAAAGAATATATGAAAAAATATATGAATATTTGAAAGGCTTAGAGGGAACGGAGCCCTCTAATGAGAAAACACTATGCTCCAAACAAAAGGAAGGATTTATTTCTGCACCCCCCTTCAGATAAGCTTACCTAAATAAACAGCAGAAAGTGAAGAACAGAAAAGTACCTGGGTGCATTTATTTTGCTGTGTTCGCACATATTTCTTGAATGAGTCTGCAAGGTGCCTGAAGGCCATGAGTTGGGCAAACCTCAATCTTGCATGGTCTATTTCTTTCTTTTCCCCCTTGTTTGTTTGTGGAACGCTAATCCCTGCGGTCCAGTAATGAGTGTAGGAATTAGAAAGCAAGAACACACACTTGGGAAGGTATTAAAGCATAACTCAGCTGGGTTAACTGGTCCCAAGTAGGTACTCCTGCTTTTAGGAACACAATCCAGCCTGGCTGGATATAGATTGAAGTCTAGTTAGTCCTGTGTTCTTTGCATGGATGCTTGGAAACAGCAGGCATTAGGTGGTACCCTGGAAATCTAGTATCAATGGCCGCTAGCCGCAATGGCTGAGTTCAACCACCACTATCAGTGTGACTCTGAATAAGTTGCTATGAGTCATAGGTGAGCAGAGTGTTGTGTTCATGTCCGCTTGCAAGCTTCCCACAGGTGTCTGGTTGGCCGCCGTGACAGCAGAATGTTGGAGAAGATGCCCCATTGGCCTAAATTGACAGGCTCATGCTATGATTTAGTTTTTGGCCACGTGTGATCTAGTCCCCATGGGTAGCCAATGTGGTGCTTTCCGGATATTGCTGGACTGCAGCACCCATAGTCCCAGCTGGCAGGGCTGACGAGAGCTGGAGTCCAGGAATATCTGGAGGTTAAAGGTAAAGGACCCCTGGACAGTTAAGTCCAGTCAAAGGCGACTATGGGGTGTGGCGCTCATCTCGCTTTTCAGGCTGAGGGAGCCGGCATTTGTCCACAGATAGCTTTCCAGGTCATGTAGCCAGCATGACTAAACCGCTTCTGGCGCAACGGAACACCGGAGTGCATGGAAACGCAGTTCACCTTCCTGCCACAGTGGTACCTATTTATCTACTTGCACTAGTGTGCGTTCGAACTGCTAGGTTGGCAGGAGCTGGGACAGAGGAAAGGGAGCTCACCTGTCAGAGAAGTTCCTTCACTGACATCACCCCATTGTGGGGATTCAAACTGCCGACCTTCTGATCGGCAAGCCCAAGACGCTCAGTGGTTTAGACCACAGTGCCACCCGTATCCCATCTTGACAACCCCTTAGCCTAGTTAAACCACTTTCCCTAAGGGTGGCCATGGTGAACTGGGAACGAAGCACATTGAGCTAGTTCATATATTGACAGTACAGGACCGTATCTTTTTTAAAAACAAAATTTTATTGGTTTTGAAACAAATACAACAACCATTAAACAATTATCTAGCAGTACAACTAATGGTGTTTGTTTTACCCCTTGTCTCTAGACATACACTTAACACAGTCAACATTCAGACATAACGTAACCTCTCCATTGATAATATTGAGTGGTTGGTATAAGGAGGTCTTGATTTTGGTCATTAACATAAAAGAAAGGAGTCCACGTTTCTTGGAAGGTGTCTCTATTTATTATTATGTCTTTAATGGCCCTCTTGTGTCTGGTGAGATGCTCAGATATTGCTGTATCCCAGATATTATTTCCCCATATGTCCAGGGGTATTTCATTCTGGTTCTTCCATTTCTGGGCTATCGTTAATCGTGCCACAGTCAGTAAGAAGCCTACTATTCATCATGGCAGAGCATGGAGCCTAAGTCTATGTCCAAAGATCGTAGGGCTAAGGCAGGATTTGGAGAAAGTGGTTGGCCTGTAATTGGACCATATCTGAGGGGTCATATCTGTCAGGTCATACGGCCTCTGTTGGGGTTGCTTGTCTAGTCAAGCCAGCTTCCTACTAATGAGAAGAAGGGGGAAATGGGAAAGGAACTGAACCTTTCTGATTTTGAAAGATTATAGGGCACCCACACTGAGGGCACTGGAACCCCAAAATAAGAATAACAACTACAGGGCATTGATGCTAAATTCTCACAACTATTTTAAAGGGAAAGAGTAGCAGCGCGCTGTTAACTTGGTAAAAGAGAGCTCCCTGGCAGGGTAAGGTTGCGAACTGATCTTGTTCTGGAAAAGTCTCTGATTTTGCAAACTCTCAGAAGTGTGGGAAGCACAGCCTGTCCAGTCGGAAGTGGGACAGAGAGACAGCCGCACAAACGAGCAGCCTGTATAATTCAATTTCCAATTACTGCTATCACGGCTGCTGCTGTTGTCTGACAGTGTGGATTGTGTGCTTCAAATGGGAGCCAAATGCACTATGCGCTGATCTATAAAACCTAAACTGATTGTGCCGTAAACGGATCATCTGGAAAGGCCCCCAGAAGTGCCTTAATGTTCTCGGGTTGCAATGTTTTCTACACTGTCTGATTTGTTTCAACGTTGTATTACAGATCCCTTCTACAATCAGGTCTATCCATCAGGATAAAATCCTAGCACTTAGACAGCAGACACAGTTCTTGTGGGAGGCTTATTTTTCTTCGGTTGAGAAGATTGTATTGACCACGCTAGAGGTGAGTAACTGTTCTCAGATATTAGTTGAGGCGTTGGCGGTCTCAGTGCCCAGGCTTTGTTTGACCTTGGCTCTTGAGGGGGAGACAGTGGGTCGCTCGGGAGGGGTTTGTGTGCACATGTGAGGAATGGGGCAGAGGAAAGACCTTCACCGTCTCTATAACTTTTCTCCCCTGAGGAAATAACGTTTCTTTGTTACTGGGCCTGGTGTAAGAAAAAATGACACCATGACAACTGAGAAGCCATTCCACTTCCAGGGAAAAGTTGCCTCGTGCAGACTAGTGGCTTCTTGGGGGCTTTGCGGTGGGTAAATCAGTATTCTTGTCATGCCTGCTGAATGAGGTCTTTTAGGGAACCTTTCTGGATAAATCGCTTTTCTGAAGAAGTAGAATTGCAAAGCCCTCTCTTCTAATGGCAGGCTTTTGTGCCCCCAAGACATTTTGATGGCCTTTTGACTGGTCTGCCTGGGGTGTTGTGGGGTGAGGCGCTTAGTAGGACATAGAGTAGATTCAAGAGGAAGATGACAGAAAACTAACAAGGAACTCTGATGGGAAACGAAACGAGCCTGCCACATTTTCAAAAGGATTTTTGTAGAGCTGTGGGTGCATGTTACAAACCCTCACACGCACACATCTCTCTCTCTCTCTCTCTGGGACTAAGATGTGATGTTAAAAGTGATTTAGTATTATCAACACTAGCAATTTCAATTTCTGTTACTCCACAGCTGATGGAGAATGTTATTATCCTAGTTTGCCGCAAACCATGGTTTGCTGTTTTGTCCAAACCCTGCTAACCATGGCTTGCAGAAGCCCCCATCAAACTACGGTTTGGGGCCCTGTTCTTCTAAGCAATTTGGATTTGGCTCAGACATAATGACAAAGTCTAGGTTGCTGCAAACCAGAAATGGTTTGCACATGCAAGGCAAGGAAGGAGTGCGTGTAAGCCCAAGGCCACTCGCTCATAACATCAAACCATGGTTAATGCTGATCAGATTCCCTCATAAACTACGATTTGCAACCACACTTCAAACCATGTTTTTGAGTGCTGGTCTATGAGGGAACCATGGCTGGCACATCTTAACTTTTGATGGTGGTTAGCACTGTCCTGAGGAAAAAAAGAGAGGAGTGCAGACTTTCTCTCAGTTTCTAAACCATGGTTTGCAAGTGGCCGTCCTTATATCTGCATTTGGCCCTTCTCTAGTGCGCGCACACACACAAACACCCTCTACCCTTAAGTCTCATTCGGTTATGCTGACTCAGTTGCAGCCAACATGGTTCTCTCCAGATGTTGATGGACTCCAACTCCCATCAGCCTCTGCCAGCATGGCCAGTGAGTAGGGATGGTGGGTGTTGTAGTCCAGTAACCTCTGATGGGCACCTCATTGGCTACCCGTGAACTAGATGAAATGTGAAGCTTATCTAATGCAACACACTTTCCTTTGGTGAGAAGTTCCCATGTTCAGCCCATATTAGATTCCGCCCCCCATGAGAGTTGACTTGAATTAGCAGAAGTGTGTTTATGCCCAATAAAGTGGAATTGTGGCAAGCCTACACACTAATGTTAGAAACAGAAAAAGCATCTTTTTAGATTTAATTTTCAGCAGGGATTTCTTTAATGCCATTATCTTTTACGAGGCAAAATCCAAAGATGGTATTTAGCAACATGTGTGCACCAATTTTCCCTGTGCTTTTTATTGTTAATGGAGGAGCTGTAAATTTGTTCCCTTTTTTGTCCTTTCCTGTATCCTTTCTTACAGATTCCCCCCGCCCCTGCCCCCCCCCCGGTCTGTTTCAGCTCTGCAGACGGTTAAGTGTTGTTTTCATGGCCAGAAATAGCCATCTGTTAAATTGGGTAAAGCCCTTTTAGGTCAGGACCTTGGCCCGCAAAATAACGGGATCTGTAAGCAGCAAAAGCACATCTGAACAAAGGCACTGGATGCCTGCTTCAAAAACTGAACCTGGCTGAGTTGCTGGGAGGAAAAGCATTGTCCTGAATCTCAACAGTGAAAGAGTATTGTGTCTGATCAGTGTAGTTTAACTAGAGAAGTGCCCTTTCTGCATTGTCACAGGAAAGCCAAACTTGGCGTTCCTGCTGCAGTTTTATTGGTTGCAAGAATGACAGAGACCGGGAAATGGAAGGGACCCTGAGGGTCATCTAGTCCAACCCCCTTACAACACAGGAATATGCAGCTGTCCCATATGGGAATTGAACCAGCAACCTTGGCATTATTAGCACCACGCTCAACTGAGCTATCCAGGCATATTTATCTTATTTATTTCTTCCATTTGCATGCCAACCTTCATCCATAGATCTCAGTTCACAACATAAAAAAACCCCACAAAATAAGAACAGCAGCAAACCAAGAATCCCCCGTCCCACAACACGTTTAAATAGGCATGAGATGTCAGTCAGCCAAAGGCCTGCTTTAAGAGGAACGTTTTCAGGCCTGGCGCCTAAAAGTGCACAGTGAAGGTGCCAGGTGAGCCTCCCTGGGGAGAGCATTCTACAAATGAGGAGCCACCACAGAAAAGGCCCCTTCTTGTGTTGCCGCTCTCTGGACCTCGCATGAAGGAGGCACACAAAGAAGGGATGAACACAGAGTCTGGGATGGTTTATATGGAGAGAAACGGTCCTTGAGGTATTGCAGTCCTAGGCCGTTTAAAGGTCACATCCAGCACTTCGAATTGAGGCTGGAAACTAATTGGCAGCCAGTGCAGTTGGGCCACTTAGCAACTCAGACGGCTGGGCCCACCTCACTCAGTATTTCCTACACTAGGAGTGGGGCATACAGAGGTTGTTGGACTCCAGTTCCCATCAGCCCCAGGCCAGCATGGCTAACGGTCAAGGATGATGGGTTCTGGAGTCCAACAACATTTGGACTTGGTCACAGGTTCTCTACACTGACTAGCAGTTTTCCAGAGTTTCAGATTGTCCCAGTTTTTGTCCCCTGGAGAAGCCACAGACCAAGCCTAGATCTTTCTCCTACATTTGAAGTGTGTGCTCTGTCACTGAGCTGTGAGCACTGGTCCCCTCCTTGTGGAATTTCCTTCAGACCTTATTTTCATTAGACCTTTTGGAATATTCTTATTTGTTTATTGCAGCTTCGCTTAACATTGGCCATGCTGGCTGGAATTGATGGAGGTTGTGAGGGCGATACCCAGCGTTGGGCCTTGCTTTTATAAGACGGGAGCTGATCTCCTCAGCATCCTGCTTTTTTGCACCCATACAAAATCAGCTGCTTTCTTCCATTCTTGCACAGAATTGGAGCAGAACCGAATAAATGTTACTGCACCTTTGTTTTTTCCTTGGGCCGAAGCCACGGGGCTATCATTACATTCTGCTCCATGCAATTTGTGTTTCCGGCACCATATTTTTGTGTTTGTTTGTGTGGGGCGGGGGAGAAGGGGAAGGAGGCGAAGGTAACAGTCATCGTTATTCCAGGAAGGTACCACCCTGTCTAAATCTACCGCCAGACTAATTATCTTATGCAGGACATGGATGGCAAAATTGTAGCATGGATTCATCAGCCTCGCAAGCTGACATGCCATTTTAAAGAGCGAAAATATTTTGACTCCGGCTTGCAGCATCTAATAAGTTCGCTCTGTTGCCACGGTTTCTGCGGCGCCTAATGAGGTAGTTTGAATACCATTATGCGAGGCTTCTAACCCGCAGGAATGCGTACGGGTCCAGCATCATCGGGGCTGCTTGGGAGAAAAGAGAAATAGATTAAACAGGAATGCTAAACAACCGGCCTCTTGCTGGCTCTCTGCAGAAAAGTGTGCTGATTGCTACCTTCGGCAAGCGACGCCACCTCTCCCGTTTCTCATTCGGACCTTCTTAAGAGTCGCTCCTTTTTCCCTTTCTTTTTTCCCTTTTAACAGATTATTCAAGACAGAATATTTAAGCACATATCACGTAACAGCTTAATATGGAACAAGCACCCCGGAGGGTTATTTGTACTGCCACAGTATTCATCATATCTGGGAGATTTTCCTTACTATTTTGCTAATCTAGGTAAGTGATTCTTGGTGGATGAACTTCCCTATACGGAGGCTGGATCTCATGGCGTGTCACAAAGCGGGTACGGGCTTTTCAAAAAACCTAGGTGCAGGGCTGTCTTAAGCATATGTGGCGCTGGGGTGCAAAGACCTGCCTGGCGCGCGTGGCCCCCCCCCCAGGTTGCCCAGTGCTAGGAGCGCAGGAGGGTGGAGCCAGCCAGCCGCCTGCCTCAGCATCTCACTGGCTCGGTCACCCCAGAACGTGCGACGCAGAGCTGCCCGCAGCAGAAGAGCCCGTTGCGGCACTCTGACCGACAGGCAGGCTCTTCCCCGGACTCAACTCTTGGGCCCCGGACTCTTGGCCTGGCGTCCTGAGAGTCCAGCGCCCGGGTGCCCCGCACCCCTAGCGCCTATAGATAAGACGGCCCTGCCTGGGTGCGCAAATCAGGAACCAGCCTTGTGGCACTCCCTCCCCACCTCTTTCTAGAGTGAGTCCCCCAGTTCTTTCCCTTCTCAGCATTAACCCCTGTTAGCTTGCCCTCAAACTGGGCCGCTCAAGTGTTGCCGTCAAACACTTGAAGAAACTAACCGGGGTGTCTGAACTTTCAGTTGGAAGGAACACCTCAGAAGCACAATTTTAGCCAACTCTTCGCCCTGGCAGTCATCATCCCACTTCCCCAAGCACCCCCCCCCAAAAAAATACCCCAGTTACCTTGCAAAAGAGGGGGGGTAGTAAATGGCATGGGGTCTTCATTCCAAAGAGAAGACTGGTTCTGTGGCAGAGCAGGCAGTGAGTCCCACTAGCTTCAAGGTCACTTCATGTATTGCAAAGACATGTTTAGTACCAGTGGAGGGAAATCAATCCAGAGGAAGGAAGGGAGGGAGGGAAGGAAGGAAGGAAGGAAGGAAGGAAGGAAGGAAGGAAGGAAGGAAGGAAGGAAGGAAGGAAGGAAGGAAGGATATTTTCCTATGTGTCTGACTTCTAATTTACCAGCCATGTTCCCAGCAAAGAGCCATGGTTGTTTCTGTATGAGGCCATTGCGTTGCCAGTTCTCATGCGCAAATTCTGTGGAGTCGCCAATCGGCCAACAAGTGTGGCATCTTACACGCTACAGAAGGAGTGCTGTGCAGATGTGATTATGGTGATTAGGATGGTTAAAATGTGCTCACATCTCCCTCTGCTTGCATCAGCTGACACCTGTCCACCTATATAACGGACCCCTGATATTTCCACCTCTTGATCTTACTTCATTTCACCACAGGGTTATTGTTCCCTATATCATCAGTGCCCCCCACACACTATTGGTTGTGGTTGGAGCAGAATTTGGATCTCAAGGAAAGCAGTGGGAGAGAATAGCTGCGCCGGCTCTTAGTGTGGTGGGGAGGTTGAGCCACGCATCATAGCTGCCCAGGTATAGGTCATGCAAGATGGGTGCTAGAAATCCTTCGTGTTGAGGACCTGCTCCCCACATACCTGTAGAGAGACTTCCTAGTTTACGAAATCAATAGGCAAACTTTCTAAGCTTAAGAAATCCAATCTAATCGTAAGGACTTGTCTTGCAATGTAAGCTGCAGTTACGCACCTGTGTCAGCAGTTCCTAAGTTGACGAGAGAGGCTGATTCAAAAGAAGCCCTCCGTGCGTAAAAGCCAACAGGTGGGGGGGTCAGCAAACGACTAAAAGGGACTTTCAGTTTATTATTTGTTCATAAATTCAGACTTAATCATTAGCAGTTCAAAGCTGTGCCCGTGAAAATTAACCGTTCAGCAATAAAATCATCATAATCGTAAAACCCAACGGAACCCTGAACACTGCCTTCAAAGAAAGTCTTTGTCTGGTGCCTGAATTTCAGCAAGGAGGGTGCCTCTCTAATCTCAGTTGGGAGGGAGTTCCACAGGCTTGGGACATGTGACTTCTGGCCGTTACAAGACATGCCTCTGAGCCATCAGGGACCCCCAACATGAGTCAAGCAGGGAGATAAGGATTGGGGCCTTGTAACTGATAAGGGCCTTGTAAATTCAAACCAAAGCCTTGCACTTGGCTGGGTAACAAATGGGCAGGCCTAGCAACTATGGGGCAAGTTTGACCCATGGCCCACCAAGCCAAGTATTGTCGACTTAGACTGGCAGTGGCTGCCCAAGATCTCACAAGGACTGCCTTCCCATCTCCTGGTCCTTTTAGCTAGCTGTGTCAAGAGACTGAACCTGGGACTGTCCATGTGCAGAGCCACTGAGCTGTGGCTCCCCTCCTGCTCATGAAGTGGGACCTTCTGTCCATCAGGCCTTTCTCCAGCTGATCAGCCAACACCAGTCTTCCTCACAGCCCTGGTACCCTCCAGCTATTTTGGGCTACAGCGTCTTTCAGGGTCTGCCAATGCAGCCATGTTGGGGAAGCTGGAAGACGCCAAGTTGGAGAAGGGTGGCCGACATGGTCTGATCCTCTGGGTGGCCTTAGGCCAGTCACTGGGCTGGCCTTCCTTACAGGGTTGTTGTGCGGAATTAAACAAGGAGCCATGCCTTCCACTTTGAGCTCCTTGGATTAAAAAAAATGGGATAGAATTGCAATAGATAAAATCCATAAAAGCCCGGGGCAGGGAGTGAAACAAATAGCTCTTGATCCCTCCAGCCTGCACACAGGTGGGGAAGTCAACAGATTTCATTTTGTTTCAGATGACAGCAATTCTTTACTGCTCAGATTGTCACCCTTTACATAACAATATTGATTTGTCGCCCTTTGCTTAACAACATGTATTTATATATATTTTTACCGCTGGCTTCCTTTCCAGGCGTCAAGCCCCCATCCAAATTCACCGCCGTTATCCATGCAGTTACTCCTTTAGTTTCTCAGTCTCAACCTGTGCTGAAACTCCTGGTTGCTGTAGCCAAATCCCAGTACTGTTCCCAGGTAAGGAATTAGACTTGGCCTCTAGGCGGTCCACCATGGAGCCCTGTCTCTGAGATGACTTCAGAATAAAGGGTCCTCTTGATTGATAGATGTCAATGTGCTTTTCTAATGCAGGGCTTTGGCAAATTCAACAGAGTTTAAAGAGATGTAAATAGCTTTTGTTTCGGGTGAAGGTAACACACTCTCCTGCGCCGAGTCAGACAGTTGGTCCATCTCGCTCTGCCTGCCAGAGCCTGGAGGCCTCCAGAAGTTGCTGCACTGCCATTAGAGCATGAGACTCTTAATCTCAGGGTTGTGGGTTTGAGCCCCGCGTTGGGCAAAAGATTCCTGCATTGCAGGGGGTCAGACTAGATGATTCCCGGGTCCCCTTCCCAGTCAACAGTTCTGTGATTCTAATTACCAGCTCCAGCCAGGAATGCCAGCAGTCAGAGGCGATGCCAACGTCTGAGGCTGATCTAGTCAATAACTCTGCTCTGACTAGCCATGACTTTCTCGGGACTCAGACAAGTGTCTTTCTGGTAGCTGAGATCCTATGGAGTTGCCAGGGATTGCTTTGATCCTGAGCTACTGTCTTTCCACCCTTACTGAAATATCGGCCAGGAAGTTTTGATTCAGTGCGAACTGTGTCAAAATGGGAAAATATGGTTGTGCAGGAGGCCTCGTTGGAGAGTTGTGGCCAACAGCACATGTTCCACAAGACCTTTATCCTCCCAAAGGTATGCTAATTGGTTTTGCATCCTTGCCTAAGGTCCAGTCCCAGAGGATAAACCGTATTTTTCGCTCTATTGGACGCACCGGACCACAGGACGCACCTAGTTTTTAGAGGGGGAAATCAAGGAAAAAATATTATTCCCCCCTCCCCCCACAGCCCCAAAGAGCAACGGACAGGCTGCACACAGCCTGTCAGCTTCTCCCAGAGCTTCTTGGGGCTGCGGGGGAAGCCCGGGTTCCCCCCCCCAGCCCCAAAGAGCAAAGAAGCCATGACAGCGCGCGGGATCCATAGCCGTGCAACCTCTCCAGCCAGGAGCTAAACCTCTCCAGCGTGGCTAAAGAAGAAGATAAGGCAGCAAGCGCGATCCATCCGGCTCACTGCCTTGGCTTCCTCTTTAGCCTTGCGCAGCATCTTTAGCTTTGCGCAATGAGATGGATCGCGCCCGCTGTCCACCGGGGCCGGGCTAGATGACTCCTGGGGTTCCCTTCCAACCCTGCAATTCTATGACCTCGGAAGGTGTTGGGGGTCTCCACCACTGGAGGCTTTTAAGCAACGGTTGGGGGAACCATCTGCCTGGCGTTCTTTAGCTGTGATACCTACATTGTGAGGGGGTTGGGCTAGATGACCCTCGGGTGGCCCTCCCAACTCTATACAGTCCTACAGTTCTGCGACAGGAGATCCACAGCCTCTTCACACAATGCCCACTCCCAATTTTCATCGGAGAGACATGTGGCTTCAGTGTCTAGGTAGGTACCCTGCTACCTGCCACACTTCCCCCGCCCCACTTAAGCTGAGGGAATTCCTGCCCAGAGAAGCTCCCAGGTGAGGAAAGGGTTAAGATCTGCCTCTGGTGGGTCATGCTCGCTGCCCTGGCTTCCTCTTTAGCCTTGCGCAGCCTCACACGGCTGGAGAGGTTGCGCAAGGCTTTTCTAGAGGAGGGAGAAGGGACTGACTGGCGGTGTCAGTCCCTTCTCCCTCCTGGGGAAAAGCCTGCAAGAGCCGCGGGAAGCTTGTGTGGGGCTCTTGGGGGCTTTTCCTGCCTGCCTCCCCCCTGCATTCGCTCCATAGGACGCACAGACTTTCCCCCTTAGTTTTTATGACGGAAAATGTGCGTCCTATGGTGCGAAAAGTACGGTATTTTAGTTTAATTTACTGCCTCCTGAGACATTTATTGTCAGGCTAGCAGCCTTCCGTGCTTTAAAACTGAGATTGGGAACCTGTGGCCCTTTCAGGTGCTGAAGAACTAGAACTCCCAATATCACTGATCATGGACCTGGGCTGATGGGGTCTAAAGCCCAATTTCCGGAGGGTCACCGGCCAGCCAGCCCAGCTTTAAAATAACAAAATGCAGAATTCTGCACCCAGGCAATTTAAAATCCTGTGTCAAGGGAAGCTGGATTCTGCAACCTATTCAAACTATGCAATTTAAGGCACTATTTTCTCTTGAATAACTCTGCAGCTGTTACCATTCTGAAGGCGCTCTTTTTGCTATGAAATGCGTGGACAGACACCCATTACAAATCTTGCTCAGCCACCTTCCTGTTTACTGAGATTTCGCCAAGACGTCCCCACTTACTTCCAAGCTTATATTTCCAGTCATAAGGGTTAGAAACCTACCTTTAAGTATACCCGAAAGCGGAGATTCTTAGAAAGCTGAATTCAGCTTCCACACATGCTTTCCTACTTCTGGAATCACAGCACACAGGCAACTCTGAAAGCTGAGCCGGGAGCTGGACCCGACCCCTGTCCCGTGCTCACACAGCACGACAGAAGCGGCACAAAACTGCGTATCATACCAGCAGTGTTAAGGCGAAAAGAGCCTGCTCTTTATATAATGGAACATTTTGGCCTTTGGCCTCTGCCAAAGTGAGCTGTAAGGATCCTTCCAGATGCGGCACAAATTGTTGTTCTGATGGCATCTGTCAAAGGGGTTGAGTTTCTCCTCCCCCCCCCCCCATTGTCAGGACAGAAAAATGAGTCGTGTACTTTTCTCTCTGGAAAGGAATTGGATTGCACAATTTAATTTAATCTTTTTGGGGAAGCTCAGAATTGAACCGTGTAACTAAGGAGGACGCCTGAGCTTTGTCTTTGGGCTACCCAGGCATTCCGCTCAACGAAGGATGAATTTTTCTTTTCAGATCATTGTCTTATGGAATTGCGATAAACCCCTCCCTGCCAAGCACCGATGGCCTGCCACTGCTGTTCCTGTTATTGTCATTGAAGGAGAGAGCAAGGTAAGTTTGGCCATGCCAAGGTCTCAGTCTGAGGGACTAAATAACATTCATTCATTCATTATTCACTCATTCATTAAAAAAATATATTATATATCGCTATATAGTGGTACCTCGGGTTAAGAACTTAATTCGTTCTGCAGGTCTGTTCTTAACCTGAAACTGTTCTTAACCTAAAGCACCACTTTAGCTAATGGGGCCTCCCGCTGCCGCCACACAATTTCTGTTCTCATCCTGAAGCAAAGTTCTTAACCCGAGGTACTATTTCTGGGTTAGCGGAGTCTGTAAACCAAGGTACCGCTGTATCCTAAAAATACGTCAGATTACAATAATATTGTCAGGAACTGGACTGAGGAGGAATGGTGGAGACTGCCCCCCGCTGCACTTCCCAGAGAAAAGGGAGACAGATTTAGAACAGTGGTTTGCAGAAGGTTCAGAGGCTGCAGAGGGGAGAAACTGGGAAATTTTGGGAGAGGAGCAGGAAGAAGAAGCAGCACCAGGGTTGAGACAGTTGACAGACTCAGTGTCCTTGGAAAGCATGCCAGACCCCCCCCCCCCCGCTCCAGGTCCCAGCGAGCATTGAGAGTAGGAGAACAAGAAAGCTCAGAGGCAGAAAGCACATATTTAGCCAGCGCAGGGATGACGTTTGATAGGAGAGACAGAGGGGGTGGGACTTTACTCAGAGCAATGCCATTATCCAAGAGAGACATCATTTTCTACAGCTCTCTCTCTGAATATTGAATAAAAGACTTGGTAAGAACTCTTCTTGTTTATCTACTTCTTGGCTGGGAAGTTACAGGGAACCAGGCAGAGGGCCTTCTCGGTAGTGGCACCCGCCCTGTGGAATGCCCTCCCACCAGATGTCAAAGAGAAGAACAACTACCAGACTTTTAGAAGACATCTGAAGGCAGCCCTGTTTAGGGAAGCTTTTAATGTTTGATGCATTACTGTATTTTTAATATTTTGTTGGAAGCCGCCCAGAGTGGCTGGGGAAACCCAGCCAGATGGGTGGGGTATAAATAAATTATTATTATTATTATTATTATTATTATTATTATTGGCTGCCCACCGTGGGACGGTATCGGATTCCCTGAAGCCTATAAACACATGAAACCAAACAATAAAAACCAAAAAGTTTTAAAACAAGTTAAAAGCAAAAAAGAAATTAAAAGCAGTGGACTCTTAATTGCTTGCATGGGCCTCATGGAACAGAAAAGTTTCAGCGAGCTTTGGCACAAAAGCTGAATTTCTAGTGGTAGGATGTTCCACAGGATGGCGGTGGTGGTTTTCCCACTTTTTAACATAGGAAGCTGCCTCATACCCAGTCCATCTAGCTCAGTAATGTTCACACTGACCAGCAGTGCCCCTCCAGTGTTTCAGACAGGGGACATTTGTAGTCCTACCTGCAGTCCACTCCAGATTGAACCTGGGACTATGAGGACGAGGTGCTGGACGCAGTGGCCTTTGACCTGAGCTAGCAGGGCTCTGCTTACATTCTTGCAACTCTAGGGCTTGCCGATATTAAAGATGCCAACCCTTGGAAGCAGCCCTTCTGCAGGTAAAAGAGTCCAGGTTCCTGGGGTTCTCTTCCCAAACAACCACCAGATAAGTTGGTGTGGTTATGTCTGGCTGAAAGTAGCAGCTTGGTTTTGTGCTGCTCTCCTCTGCAACAGAGAAAGGGCTGTGTGGCGTATTTCCAAACTCGCCACATATTTTTTTTGCACAGCGCATTGGACCTCGGAGTCTTCTTTTCCATCCACACACAGAAACATGTCCCCTGCCCCCCATGAACAGCCAGTGATATAAATGCTAAACTGGAGGAAGGGAAAGAGTCTAATCTTTGTTTGACTGACATGGAATACAGCTTGGAAGGCTTGGGGTTTGGGTTTGGTTTTTATCAGCCAGCTGTCTAGAGCAGAACGAATTTTCACTCTGAAGTTTTCCAGGTGCTTTACGGCTGTTTGAAATGTACAGGCCTTGGCTTTACTGGTGTCTCGGACCCCCCCCCTCCCCCCAGTAGATTTGACAAGGGAAAAGTCAGTGCATGGCTAAGCTGCCAGCTAACTAGGTTCCTGACTCTAAACAGTGGCCATGTGAGCAGTACCAGGAGATTTGCTGCAGGGCTGAGATAGGAGGCTGTTGCTTGGAGATTGCCCACCTTTTCTGCCATTATTGTTTCTCCTTTTCCTATATCAGAGAGCCCAAGGAACAAAATGCCCCCTCAAATTCCAAAGCATGTGTAGGAACTTGCCTTGGAGGCATCTTAGAGACAACAAAGAAATCTCAACGTGCGGTCAACAGTGTGCCGTTCGCACGCTGGCAGGTTGCTCTGCGCTCCAGAATGAATTCCCAAACGGGGGGGAGAAAAGAAAATGTCTGTGGACTTCAGAATGTACAATCTGAGCCAGGGGCAGGCAACATCTGGCTCCCCCTCCCCACCTGAGATGGTCAGGACTACAACTCCCATCATCCCTGACTGTTGGCCTTGCTGGCTGTGGCTGATGGGAGTTGGAATCCAACATTTGGCAGGTGCAAGTTCACCTGCCCTTGCTCTAAACCAGCAGTTCTCAACCTGTGGGTCCCCAGATGTTGTTGGACTACAACTCCCATAATCCCTGAGCTCTGGCCTTGCTAGCTAGGGGTGATGGGAGTTGTAGTTCAACAACATCTGGGGACCCACAGGTTGAGAACTGCTGCTCTAAACCAACAAGGTTTCTCAAACATGGGTCTCCAGCTGCTTTGGGACTACAACTCCCATCATCCGTAGCTAGCAGGACTGGATGATGGGAATTGTAGTCCGAAAACAGCTGGAGACCCACGTTTGGGAAACCCTAGTAAAGGTAAAGGGACCCCTGACCATTAGTCCAGTCGTGGCTGACTCTGGGGTTGCAGCGCTCATCTTGCTTTATTGGCCAAGGGAGCCGGCATACAGCTTCCGGGGTCATGTGGCCAGCATGACTAAGCCGCTTCTGGTGAACCAGAGCAGCGCACGGAAATGCCGTTCCCGCCAGAGCGGTACCTATTTATCTACTTGCACTTTGACGTGCTTTCGAACTGCTAGGTTGGCAGGAGCAGGGACCGAGCAATGGGAGCTCACCCTGTCGCGGGGATTCGAACCGCCGACCTTCTGATTGGCAAGTCCTAGGCTCTGTGGTTTAACCCACAGCGCCACCTGCGTCCTTTGGGAAACCCTGCTCTAAACCAAATTTAGAGCAAGCTTTTTAAGACGTGGGACTGACCCACCTTTAGTCCAAATGTACATTCTGGGGGCGGCTGCTCAATTTGCCGGCATATATGCGTATGGGTGGTAGGTCAGCCTGTGACCTGCCTTAGGTTTGGTTGAAACCCCCACTTGAGTGACTTTCAGCCAGTCGCTGCCCTCCTAGCCAACCTTGCAGGGGTAGTTGTGAAAATTACAAGTGGGAAGGGCAACCATAGCCACTGCCTTCAGCTCTTTGTAGCAAAGGCGGCAAATATATAAGCAATGCATCCCTGCTCTCTCTGTTTCTTCTTTTCATATACTGTAGCTGCATAATGGATATAAAAATCAAAATAAAGCAACTACCTCCTGGCACGGAATCTGCAGGGATTTTTTACAGGGCCTGTACAATTCACCCCGTACCTCAAATTCATTGCTAGGAACTTGTGTGTCTTATTTTTGAACGAAAAGCTGGGAATCAGGGGCTTGTGGTTCATGGGAGAGGGAAACTGCACCGCTTGCTCCCCCCCCCACTGCAGGACACTTAACACACCTGAGCATTGCACATGACAAAAATCAGGTGGAAGGGAGCAGCCGTGAATCCCCCGCGGTGCTGCTGTTTCAAAACAAATTGGTGGATAACGTAGCAGCGGAAACAAGCAGCCCGCACGGGAGGAATGCGTAGCGAGCCACCACGAAATTCAATTCTTCTTATCTGACCAGTCATCCTCAAATCTTCCCCGGACCTTTCTGTTCAATGGGGTCATTTCCTCCATTAATGTGACGGCGGAGAGTTAACTCTTCCAATTTGGGTCTGAAAGGGGTGCTGCCCTTGGCAGGGCGAGTCTCACGAGCTGAGCGCTGACCCTCTTTATCCCCCTCCGCAGGTGATGAGCAGCCGCTTCCTGCCCTACGAGAACATTGTCACGGATGCTGTTCTAAGCCTCGATGAGGATACGGTGCTTTTCAACCACTGAGGTGAGACCTCTTCCCATCTGAGTCTGCTGCTGGCTGCTTTCGCCCTCTGCTCTTCGCAGTTTTTGTGCTGGCTGCGTAGGCGAGGATTGCATGATCGGCCGTCTCTGACGTTAGAAATATAGGAAGCTGGCTTTGCACTGAGCCAGACCATGGTGGTCCACCTATTTCAATGCTGTCTACACTGTCCGGAAGCAGCTGTCCAGGATTTCAAGCAAAAGCTTTCCCATGCCAGAGTAGTACCTGGAGCTGCCAGAGTTTGCACCTGGGACCTACTTTCCTTTTAAAAAATATTTTTTATTAAAGGGTTTCTTGTGCTACGAGACAGACAAATAAGCAGAGAAAAGTACAATTTGGGGGGAAAGAAAGGGGAGAGAGAGTGTGATGGGGATGTTGTTCTTTCATTCTATGGCCTAGTGGTAGTGCAGTGGTATCACTGGTTGCGAACAGGATCCGTTCCAGAGGCCCATTCGCAACATGAAAAGCCTGCAACCTGAAGCGCCGTATCTGCGCAGGTGCGTGGTGCGATTTGGCGCTTCTGCGGATGCGTGAAGCACGATTTAGGTGTGAGCCGCGAAACCCGGAAGTAACCTTTCCGGTACTTCGGCGTTGCTGCGGGACGCAACCTGAAAAAACGTAACATGAAGCAAACATAACATGAGGTATGACTGTATAGGGATTGTGTCCGTATCACAAGGATAGGTCCTTTACACACACACACACACACACACACAGAGAGAGAGAGAGAGAGAGAGAGAGAGAGAGAGAGAGAGAGAGATTAGGGCATGGGTCGGCAAACCAGGGCCTGGGGGCCAGAACAGGCCCAATAGCCTTCTGGATCCAGCCCGCAGATGGTCCGGAAATCACCACATGGATCGCCAGCGTGCACGTTTTCCCCCTCTTCCTCACACGGCGGTGGCGGCAGCAGTGCCTCCTCCCTCCCTCCTCCTGGCTTCTCCCTGCCCTGTCTAGAGGAGGAAGGGGGCTGGGCTTTGTTGGTGCCAGCAGCAGCAGCAGCGCTCAAGCAGCTGCCATTTTAAGCAGCCCCTCTCTGGAGCCTTTTGCGCGCTGCTCATCGTCCCTCTGCCGCCAGCCCCTGCCACTCACAAGACACAGGTAAGCAACCACCGGGGCTCGTGGTGCTCTTGAATCATTCTTTCCCCCAAAAAAATATAGTCCGGACCCCCACAAGGTCTGAGGGACAGTTGACCGGCCCCCTGCTGAAAAAGTTTGCTGACCCCTGGATTAGGGGGTCCAGAACTTGGTTGGCTGTATTCTGCCAGTTGCAGTAGGGACCTTCTTTCCTGAAGGACAGATGCTCTGCCATTGAGCTTTGGTCTTGGACTATGCCTTCGCTATAGCATTACAGTCGTACCTCGGAAGTCGAACAGAATCCGTTCAACTTCCAAAACGTTCGGGAACCAAGGTGCAGCTTCCGATTGGCTGCAGGAAGCTCCTGCAGCCAATCGGAAGCCGTGACGGACGTTTGGGTTCCAAAGAACGTTCATCCCGCAAGGCGTTCGACTTCAGAGGTACGACTGTGTCTATTGATCCACCTCCGTTCAGTCCCAGCAAACACAATTCCATGGACCTGGGGTGCTGCTTTGCTGCAGTTGCGTCACTCACAGCATCCTGTACTGAACTCTGCTCCTTCCTGTGTCTGTCCGGACGCAGGTTACATTCCATGCTAACAGCAAACGCAGTCAGGTTGCAGCATGGCCCGTTTTCTTAACACAGGCTTTCAGGCTGGAGTTAACACTTTCCTTTCCTTTTAAAGAACGGCACATTTTCTCATCCCCGGCCTTCTTGCCTCTCCCTCTCTCTCAGAGCAACACCATTGCTTTGTAAAGCAAACGTTTCCACCCTGATGCCTGTGTTTGATTCCTGTGTCTCTGCTTCCTGCATATCAAGAGCTGAGCCCAATCTCTCTTTAAATGAAAGGAGATTCCTTGTATTTGAGAGCTGTTGTGCCCAGAGCAAGATTGTGCCCAAGGAAAAAGACACACACACATACAGAGAGAGAGACTAAAAGCTAGCTGTAGAAAACCAATTTTTACAACTGGGATGAGTATTGATTTCTAGCACCTCTTCCCGCAAAGAGAAGGAGGAGATGGGCGACCGTTTATATAAGACTGCAATATATCGGAAATACATTATTAATGGCAGCTGTGGAAAAGCTTTGGGTCTTTATTGTCCCTTTTGATTTCAGCACTTTTCTTCTTCTTGTTCTCTGTAGCTCCTTCCCTCTCCCTTAAAGGGACAAATTCCCCCCTGGAATGGTCAGACGCTGCTGATTTGGAGCTGTGTGTTGCTGGGCCTTCAACTCCCATCAGCCTCAGTCAGCTTGGTTAGCAGCCAAGGATGATGGATTTGGAGTCCAGCCCTATCTAGGCAGCCACAAGTTCTCCATTTCCTGCTTCAGAGATGAACGCCTTTCTTGCTTCCAGGGTGGTAAAAGTGCGAGTGCTTGGGTGACCCAGTTCACTTTCTCCTGCATATCACACATAGTTAGTGTGAAACTAACGAAGCTCCAGCTTCAGGGCCCTTAATTTTGGAGAGGTGCCAGAAGCAACTTCAGTCCAAATTGCTTTAAAAAAAAATTGGGTCTAGTAGACCCGATTTGAGCAGCACAACTCAAATTAATTAATTTTTCATTGCATATATTTCAACAATCCCAAAGTTTGAGAGTCAGTAGCACAGACTTTATAATGGTGTGGTGATCTGTCGTGGAACAACCCAATTGAAGGAGATTACAGTGGTTACCCAGACTTCATTGCTGGTTGCAAAAAGGTAAAGGGACCCCTGACCATTAGGTCCAGTCGTGACCGACTCTGGAGTTGCGGCGCTCATCTCGCTTTATTGGCCAAGGGAGCCAGTGTACAGCATCCGGCTCATGTGGCCAGCATGACTAAGCCGCTTCTGGCGAACCAGAGCAGCGCACGGAAACGCCGTTTACCTTCCCACTGGAGTGGTACCTATTTATTTACTTGCACTTTAATGTGCTTTCGAACTGCTAGGTTGACAGGCGCTTGTTGCAAAGAGGCCCCCATTTTGGGGAATCCAAAAATGCAGGTTTGCCACTGGACTCCATTTAGCTTATGAGTCTAAATCTCCTTTTAAAGACATTACAGCAGTGGCCAATCACCATGTTCTGTATGACATGAGTCTCAAACGTGGAGTTGTCATTGATGAAGCCAGATACTTTAAAGCAACTTATCCGCATCTGGTGCTGCTCAGGTGTTTTTGGGCTACAAATCCATCATCGTTGACTATGAAGTCCAAAACATCTGGAATGCCGCAGGTTACGAAAGGCTGCTTTTAAATTTCTTGAATCCTGTGCCTGGCGCGCGTGCGCGCGCACACACACACACACACACAAAGGCAAGTAGCCTATTATTGCCCAATTTAACATTTGACAGTAGTCTCCAGTTTGAAACTTGCTTTCAAATTGGAATGATAAAAACCTGGAAGGGGGGGGGAGAGCCCCAAATGGTTTTGTTCTGTTCTTTCATCTTTTACCGTTAATGAAGGTTTTGCCCTTTTCATTCATAATGAAATGAAATATTAAGCCTTTTCATTCCTCTGGGTGAGAGTCCAAAGTTCCATCTCCCATACTGGGAGGGACATGTGTGAGTCTCGTAATTAGAAATCTGTGTGGGCTGACCGAGGGAGGGGGGGAGCAGGTGGAAGAGGCCGGTAGGTGGTAGGTTGTTTTTCCTCACCACCCATGCCAGATAATCTGTATTGCATCCGCTTCGGAGGGAAATGATTAAAGTGAGCTGTGAGGCTCGCGTCCATCTTCTGCAATGGCAATTGACAGTCGTTTTTCATGGAAATCCAAGTTCCACACTAGCATGCTGCAGTCCAGCAAAATCTCAACTACACCCCTAACCCTAATTTAGCCCCAGTGGGATGCTGGGATTGTAACCACAGGGTTACAATTGAGGGAAGAAGCTTCAGAACTGACAAGGGAAAGGATTTGGTGTCGCCCCAGAGGCCAATTTTGGCCCACCAGACGCTTTCGAACTCTCCCCAAGGCACCGCCACTCCACGCCGATCCTTGCTTCCCACTCCAAATGTTTTTAATTCTGGCCAGAGTGTGTCCTTGGACTCTTAATAGTGCCTCTTGCTTCTCTAGATGGCGGCTCGAGTTTCCCCGTCCCCTTTTGCCTCTCCCCCCTCCCACCACTGGCGTGGCTTTGCCCAGGGGGACATTGATCCCTCACGGTGAAAAGTGCTTCCCGACCCAGCTAGAAAATGGATACGGAAGCTGTGGGGTTCTGTTTCCAAGCACAATTCAAAGTGTTGGGGCTGACCTTTAAAGCCCTAAACGGCCTCGGCCCAGTATACCTGAAGGAGCATCTCCACTTCCACCGTTCTGCCCGGACACTGAGGTCCAGCTCTGAGGGCCTTCTGGCGATTCCCTCACTGCGAGAAGTGAGGTGACAGGGAACCAGGCAGAGGGCCTTCTTGGTAGTGGCACCCGCCCTGTGGAACACCCTCCCATCAGATGTCAAGGAAATAAACAACTCTCTGACTTTTAGAAGACATCTGAAGGCAGCCCTGTTTAGGGAAGTTTTTAATGTTTGATGTTTTATTATGTGTGTTTTTATATTCTGTTGGAAGCCACCCAGAAAGGCTGGGGAGGCCTGGCAAGATGGGCCGGGTATAAGTAATACATATTATTATTATTATTATTATTATTATTATTATTATTATTATTGGTCAGCTGTTAGGGCAGTGTGGGGCAGCACCGGAGCCAAAAATGGGTATTCTGGCTACATTCCTTTTCTCTCTTCTTGCCACATTCTTCGCTGCCAGGGGAGGGACAGGTCGCTGTTGCCAGAGGTCTGAACCCATCACTTTTGAAATCAGGCCATGGCCCACAGTTTGCCCACCCCTGGCCTAGATGCCAGGGAGAATTTGAACACTAGAGGGGGGAGGCTGTGATAGCCCATGACTCGCCCTCAACCTGGATTCATCGTTTAGCATGGGCGCGGCATCCCTTGCCTTCCCCTCATGGTTTTTTAAGTCTTTTCAAGGAAACAGATGTCAGATTTTAGAGCAGGCAGCCGTAAGGTGACCTTTGGCTCCTTGACAGGATGGTTTGGATGCGATCAGAGCTGCGGCATGAACGCTCTGCCTGAACTGCCTTCTGAATGAAAACACTTAAAAAGTTTCAGGGCGTGCCTAAAACTGCATATTTCAGGATGTGTGCCATTCTTCACGTCCCCAAAACAGCTTTCCATTCCAAAGGATCTGATAATAACTGCAGCAAGGAAAGCAAGCCATGCTTACTCCATCTTTTAAAAAGTTTTATATTCTGTGTCTGGTGCAAACGTAGGCCTTTATTTGTTGTTGTTTAGTCATTTAGTCATGTCCTGCTCTTCGTGACCCCATGGAGCTGTTAAGTGCAAGAGCACAGGAAACAGAAGTGTATAACCGCTCCCAAATTTGTATAAAGCCCTCTTGGCCTCCATCTTCTAACCTACTCACTTTTTGGGAATGGGAACTGGCATTACAGAGGGCAAGACTTGTTGTTTAGTTGTTTAGTCGTGTCCGACTCTTTGTGACCCCATGGACCAGAGCACACCAGGCACTCCTGTCTTCCACTGCCTCCTGCAGTTTGGTCAGACTCATGCTTGTAGCTTCGAGAACACTGTCCAACCATCTCGTCCTCTGTCGTCCCCTTCTCTTTGTGCCCTCCATCTTTCCCAACATCAGGGTCTTTTCCAGGGAGTCTTCTCTTCTCATGAGGTGGCCAAAGTATTGGAGCCTCAGCTTCAGGATCTGTCCTTCTAGTGAGCACTCAGGGCTGATTTCCCTCAGAATGGATAGGTTTGATCTTCTTACAGTACAGTACATGGTCTCCTCCAGCACCATAATTCAAAAGCGATTAGCCTTCTTTAATTTGAAGCATTCATGTTTGTGGTTCAGTGCACTGAATCTCCCATAATCCACTTCAGCAAGGATGCTGTGAGACCCTCATTTCTCATAGGAAGTCGGCCACAGGTGTGCATCATGGTATCTGTAGTCTGACTTTCGGTGTTTACCATCTGCCTTGCTTCCTCTCTGAATTTAACTTAAAGCAGTTTTCAAAACTGGGGGGGGGGGTCTGGAGCTTACTTTTAGCTGAATGGAGAAAATAGAAAATTTACATTTTCAGCAGAAGGAAATGAGAACACTTCGCCACCCCCACCCGAGTCCTTCAATGAAAATGGTTTAAAGCGGTGGCTTTCTTGTTCACACCAGTAAACACGCAATTCCCACACGGCACGCAGATTCTCTACCAGTTGCAAACTTTAGCTTTGCACGAGTCGCGCCTGCAAAATGTTAATGCGATTCTCTGGAGCTCTAGACTCCTGTTAACAGGAAAACATTAAAATGTGCATAATTACAGGGCAAAATGTCAAGCAGTCAGTTTAATTTACTGATGAATACAGAGAATTAATGTTTTGCAACAGTTCCCAAGATTGCAAATTATGAATTAGTGGGAAAGGTAATATTTTGTTTTGCTGACATTTTTGAGGCTGTTTGATTACCGCTTGCCACATATGTTCTGTTTGCTTTCCTTGCCTGCAGGTGGATTTTGCCTTTACGGTTTGGCAGAGTTTCCCAGAGAGGATCGTGGGCTACCCTGCCCGCAGCCATTTTTGGGACAACACTAAGGAGCGGTGGGGCTACACATCCAAATGGACTAATGACTATTCCATGGTATTGACTGGAGCTGCTATCTACCACAAGTAAGATTTGGGAGCATCATATCTATTTGAAACCAGTCTCGGCAAGAGGAGACTTTTTATATATATTTTTTTAAAAGCTTGGGTGCATTCCTGCATTTGCTTAGAGAAACTCTTGTTTAATCAGGGCTTTGGGAGATGTGTTAAAGACAACACATATTAATCTGATTGCCACACATAATGCCAAAATGGGTGGATGAATGGGCACGTCAGGCAGGTGACAAAGGAGAAGAGAATGTGCAGTCCTACATCCTACTCCTGATTCCAACATTCACCCCAAACCCTCCCAATTTAGTGAAAGGTGAGTAGGTCCTAGTCCTGGGATAGGGGGCATATGGCACTGTAGAAGTTGCTGGACTCCAACTCCCATCAACCCCAGCCAGCAAGGCCAAAGATGGGAGTTGTAGTCCAACGAGATGTGGAGGGCCAGAGTTTCGCCATAACTTCCCTGGCCTTCAAGATGCCTCTTATTTCTGCTGCAGCTGCCCTGGCCTTCAAGATCTCCACTAAACGCTGCAACTGGTATCCAAGGATGGAATCCTCTGTACATTCTTGTGTGCATCCTACAGTGCCTTGTTTCCCACAATGCACTTCTTCACACCACAAGCACCTACTGGGCCATCGCAAGAAATCAGCCTTGTTTTACCATAAAAATGAGGAATTTGTGGGGTGGGGAGTGGTTTGGGAAGAGTGCCCTCAGAAGACCCATTGAAAATCTGGGAGAGCTGGTTATGGTTGGTGAGGGGAAAATAGCCTTTACACGCTCAAGAGAAGCTCTGGTTGGTTCACCTGTGCTATTATTGATAGGTAAAGATTGCTATTGAGTTGGAGCCGTGATATAGCTAGGCCCTGAAAATATTTTATCATCTCTGTCTCTTCCTTTCCTGTTAGCTAGTTGTTGTTTTTAACAGCATTTCTTGTTAAAACACCAAAGGAGATTCTGGAAGGATTAGAGTTCGAGTTTGTTTCATAGATGACTTTAATTCCCACTTTCAGGGTCCGGTAATTATTGTGTTTTTCTGAATCTCTTTGATGTCGATCGTATTATAGAAGCAGCCTAACTGTTCCCTTTCATGGGCTTCAATAGACTTCAAAAGCGCCCCCAAATTCTTCAAAAGGCCTAAGCCAAAACACTCCTTGGCATCAAGGAAGGACGGACATGTCCTCAGCAAGGCAAGGTTTGAGTTGGCTGACCATCAAAGATGCTAAACTAGCCAGCTTTGTAGGGTGCCAGTATGGTCCTTGTGAATCAGAGTTGTTTGGAAATAGTCATCTTTGTTTATTGAGATTGCAAAAGAACAGAGCCACCAAAGGAAGCCTCGTTTTGGTTTTAAACGAGTCGTCATTGTTTTCTGACTTCCCTCGCCTTTGAACAGCCAAGCAAGCCTCCTAGAATCAACCGGTCCTCACAAGGCTTGGTTTCCAGACCCTTGATCATCTTGGTTGCCCTCCTCTGCACACATTCCAGCTTGTCAATATCCTTCTTAAATTGTAGCACCCACAACTGGACACAGGTGTGGTCTGACCAAGGTTCTATTACTTCCCTTGATCTGGGCCCTATACTTCCGTTGATGCAGCCTAGAATAGCATTAACTTTTGCTGCTGCTGCATCACACGGTTGACTCAAGCTAAGCTTCTGGTCTGCTAAGACCCATAGATCTTTTTCACATGTACCATCTAGATGTCTCTCATCATACGTTTGTGCATCTGGTTCTTCTTGCCTAAGTGCAGAACCTCACATTTGTCCCTATTGAAATTCGTAGTGTTAGTTTGGGCCCACTTCTCCAATCTGTTCAGGTCATCTTGAATCTCGATTCAGTCTTCTGTGGCATTAGTTACTCCTCCCAGTTTGGTGTCATCTGCAAATTTGATAAGCATCCCTCCCAGCCAATTCCTTCACCCAAGTCATTTATAAAGATGTTGAACAACAATGGGTCCAGGACAACTTCAGGCAAAATCTCATTTTGGGGGCAGGCACATGGGAGAATAGATTTTAGGGCAGATAAGATAGTCAGATAGATTAGGAGTCCACAACTGGTAGCTCATGGTCAAATAAATCTACCGCAGTTCACCTCCACAATGTATACTTCATGGTTCCCTGTATATCAAACATCTTTCCACCTCTGCGATTCCTCAAATTGTAGAGGATGGACTATGGACTCTTTGCCCCCAGTATGGGGAGGGATTGTAACTCAGTGGTAGAGCAGGTTGTGGGCAACCAGGAAGTCCAAGGTTCAAGACCTGTCAGCTTCTTCCTGATGACCTGGAGAACCATTGGAAGTCAGAGTGCACAAGCCTAGGCTGAATGTAGCGATACCTTAACCTGGTATAACAAGGCTTTCTACGTATCCCTATGTCCTGAAAATGTATTGTTGTTCACTGTCCCCTAAAACGCACCATTAAGGATGGATATCCCTTTCCCCAAGTTCAGCGGGGCTTAACTCCAGGTAAGTCTGCAAAGGATGGCCGCATCCAATCCTCACTGACGGGACTCTGTTGGTTTTTTACAGATATTATCACTACCTGTACACTCATTTCTTGCCTGCCAGCCTGAAGAACATGGTGGACCAATTGGCCAATTGCGAGGACATTTTGATGAACTTTTTAGTGTCGGCTGTGACAAAATTGCCACCAATCAAAGTAACACAGAAAAAACAGTATAAGGAAACCATGATGGGACAGGTATGTGTCTAGAGCCAACTTTAACCTTCTTACAGTGATATACATTCTGCACCCCCCCCCTTATATAAGCAAACACTTTTTTTTAATAGGTTCAGTTCACACATTCAGAGGAAGCCGCCAACATGCTATATCAAGAGGCTTTCTCATCTTCCCCCAGGCCTTTTGCTAATTGAACAATCTATATGTCCTTTTAAGGAAGGGCTTGTTTTTGTTTTGATTTGTAACTATATTGTGTGTTTTTGTAGTTTTATATTGCAAACCGCCCTATGATCCTCAGATGAAGGGTAGCATAAAAATTAGTTATTAATCAGAATAATTCCAAGTTTTATTGTCAGGTGGTCTGCAAACATGTAGTCAGAATACTGCATCTCATCTTGTCTTTTTTTAAAGTACAATCATACCTCGGGTTACAGACACTTCGGGTTGCGCGATTTTGGGTTGCGCACCACGCTGAACCCGGAAGTACTGGAACGGGTTACTTCCGGGTTTCGGCGCATGCGCGGAAGCGCTAAATTGTTCATGCGCAGAAGCGCTGAATCGTGACCCGCGCATGCGCAGACTCACGGGTTACTCGTGCTGTGGATTGCGAACGTGCCTCCTGCACAGATCTTGTTCGAAACCCGAGCATCCGCTGTAATAGCATGATCTGGTAATACAGGATTGCGATGGCTTGGATCCTGTGAACACCAAAGAGAGCTGCTTGACACATTAACCACAATGATCAAGTAAATCTATCCTGAAAAGCCATGCTTCTATCAATATGATAGAGGGCATGCCTACTTGTCAGTTAGCATGTTATCATTTAGGAGAGCCGTATCGCCAGCAAAACCAAAAAGCCTGAGCGAGTTTCTAGTCCACAAAAAGCCTTACTTAGCACACCTCTCTACGCATATGTACCTGCTTTAGTCTTCTGCAGTTTCTCTTCCTGCTGATAAAGGCCACTTTGCTGTAAGTGGGAGACCATTTACAAGTCTATAATAAAAGTCCTGACACCTTATGGTCTTAAAACACTGAAAAACGATGTATATAAATATATAGATACATATATATATATATATATATAACAATGAAATCTTTGTGCTGTTCAAAAAATAACTCAAAGCCGTCATAGTCTGAGAGGAGGAATGTTCTCAAACTGTGCTGTGACAGATGTGATATTCTATTTTTGAAATGATTCTTTCAAGTGACTTCCCATAAGAAAACAAGAAGATCACTTCATAATTGTTTCTCTGCCTTCCGAAAACGATTCAGCAGCTTGCGTTAACTGTGGGGATGCAATGTGTGGTTCCTTCTTGGCAAGCAGCCTTTCCTTTTCTGGCTTTTGGGAGCTGCCCACAGATAAGACGTCACTGATCACACACTGATTTTGCCTTTGCTTGGGAGCTGGTAAATTAATTTAGAATTATTTTCATGGGCACCACTCTTTTTTTAAAAAAGGCATTAGTTTTTAAGACTTACTGGGTCAACATGCCCTTTGAGTAAACATTGTGCCTAGCTACTTCCCTGTGTTCTACTTTACAAGTAACACTAAACCATGGTTTAAGCATGTCAAGAATGAGCGCTGCTGCGAGGAGGAGTTTGGGAACATCTGCTTCTATTTTACCTTAACCAGAGTTTTTGCCCCCAAATGGTATGGATAGTGAAACGTTAGTTTAAAGTCGGCTGGTTTCCAGAAACAAAAACTAGCCTAAATTATTATTTTTTATTATTATTATTATTATTATTATTATTATTATTATTATTATTATTTAATTAATTAATTAAAATGTGAGGTAAATCAACTGTGCCTCTTTCTAGATGCAGTTTTTATATTTTTATTAGTTTCTTAATATAGCATTTTCAACAATTATAAAACATACTTTTATATCTTACACAATTTTTTTGACTTCCTTCAATCACATCTGAAAATTTTCCAATCTTTTCCACTTAATTTACATTTCTTACTTTCACTTTTACATTTAAGTATCATAACTAATGTCTCTCTTCTTTATCTTCTTTGCAATATTTCATATATTCCTCCTTACAAAACTTCTTGTAGCCCTACTAGCGTAATTTGTTGATTACAGTTGCTCTTCAGATAGTTCGTATATTTCTTCCAATCTTCTGTGAATCTCTGGTCCTGCGGTTTCTATAAGCACTTACTACTATTGTTTTATTTTAATCTGCTTCTCAATTAATTAATTGTGGGGACATCTTTCAAGTCAATTTTAATGGTTTGGTTTTGTGGAGGGTTATGTGAGATTAATTGAGCATTGCAGGCCTATCCTTGACTCCCGTTTGTTTGATTTCCCCTCACAGACCTCCAGGGCTTCTCGGTGGGCCGACCCAGACCACTTCGCTCAGAGGCAGAGCTGCATGAACACTTTTGCCAGCTGGTTTGGCTATATGCCGCTGACCCATTCTCAGATGAGGCTCGACCCCGTGCTCTTTAAAGACCAAGTCTCCATCCTGAGGAAGAAATATCGAGACATTGAACGACTTTGAGGAGTCCCGCTGAAAGGGGTTGGAGCAGGGGGCGAGAGAGAGAGAGAGGAGGGGTACCGGACTGTTCGCGTAGCCCAGCACAAACCCACCGCTGACTCACGGAGCAAGACTCTCAACCAAGAACAAAACACAAACCCTCTTGACATGCCAGTGGGAAAAGCCAACTCCAAAGGGGGGGGGGAAGACTCTTTGTGCTGGACTGCTTCAAAACCACCTCACGGGCTGCAGGTCGCTCAAGACTAGGTTGTGTACAGTTTCATTATGGAACATTAAATAATTATTTTTTGAAATGATTGCTATGCAGGTTTAAACTTTTTTAATGATAAAAAACCCTATTAAAAACAGAGTTCTTTCTTTAATCAGAATCGTGTTGGTTGTTGTGTTGAAGGTCGACAGGCGTGTACGTGGAAGGGTGGTTTTTGATTTTGTCAGCAAGAAGAAAATCATGGTGTGGGGCGAGGGTGTTAATGGAAATGGATAAAAACATAACAAGAGCCCTACTGGGTCAGATGAAAAGTTCCATTTATTGTAGGATCCTGCAGCTCATCATGGCCGCCCACACAGAACGACCACAAGCAGGGCAAGAGGCCGATAGCGATGTGCTCCTCGTGTGTCTGTGGTGCTGGAGATTAAAAAATAGCCATCATATTTAGCCCCTTCAGTCAGATCTCTTGGGGAGAGGTCTTGCACTATGCCAGAGGCAGCCCATTCCACCAACAGTAAGACCAGCCTGGCAGGAAGTAGGAAATAAGGTAACATCCTAGTAAACAAATGGGTTTCTACTGGAAGTACGTTATACGTAATTTTATTTGTACACCACCTTTCCACAGTTCAAACCATGTTCAAGCCAGATTAATACTTGGGTGGGGGGGACTGCAATGTAAGAAAAGGTAAAGGGACCCCTGACCATTAGGTCCAGTCGTGGCCGACTCTGGGATTGCGGCGCTCATCTTGCTTTATTGGCCGAGGGAGCTGGCGTACAGCTTCCGGGTCATGTGGCCAGCATGACTAAGCCGCTTCTGGCGAACCAGAGCAGCGCACGGAAATGCCGTTTACCTTCCCGCTGGAGTGGTACCTATTTATCTACTTGCACTTTGACGTGCTTTCGAACTGCAAGGTTGACAGGAGCAGGGACCGAGCAACGGGAGCTCACCCCATCGCGGGGATTCGAACCACCAACCTTCTGATCGGCAAGTCCTAGGCTCTGTGTTTTAACCCACAGTGCCACCCGCATCCCAAGGGGATAAGTAGTATGAGAGAAAACAGAGATAGAGAAGAATTTGGTTTGGTCCGTAAGAAAAGTAGTCATAAAACATTAAAAACACAAAAGCAAACTCAAGAGTTTACAAATAAAGATAAAGATACAAAAAGCCAATAGCAACTACGATCACCCCCGCAACAACAACAAAAACCCAACCAACTCCCAAGTCTGATAGTCTGGTTCAGCAGCCTCAGCTTCTGCAGCTGGAGTCAGTCCAGGCCCCGCTGTCCCAGACCAGGTAGGAAAAGGCCTTCAAGGTGAGGAGCAGGTCCTCCAGGACTCACAGCCAAGTAGCACCTGCTCTTCTTGTTGGGGCTTGTCAGTGGGATGGGAAAGGGTTGTAGTTCAATGGTTAGTGTGAAACCAACCACCTGTCTCCTTGATCCTTGCCCATCCTGGCTGATAAAAGCAAGCCGGGAAGGGCTGGGCGATGGGCTCTGCGGGGTGGTGAATGCTTCCCTCTGTGAGGGAGCCTTCCCAGACCCGCTGAAAGAGGCGGTCATTAAACCGCTTCTTAAAAAAACATCTTTAGACCCGGCCAGTATGGCCAACTATCACCCAGTCTCAAATCTGCCATTCTTGGGCAAGGTGATTGAGCGGGTGGTTGCTGAACAACTCCAGGCATGCCTGGAGGGTGCGGACCATTTGGATCCCTTCCAATCGGGGTTCAAGCCTCATCATGGGCTTAAACTGCCTTGGTCACGCTGGTTGATGATTTCTGGCAGGCTAGGTGAGAGCTGTTTCCTAGTTCTGCTGGATCTTTCAGTGGCCTTTGATACAACATCCTACAACACCATAACATCCTTCTGGACCGTCTAGAGGGGCTGGGAGCTGGGGGCACAGTAATACATACCGCTCCTTCCTCCTGGGGCATGTTCAGAAAGTGGTGGGGGACGAGTGTTCAGACCCCTGGGCTCTCACTTGTGGGGTGCCTCAGGATTCCGTCTTCTCCCCCATGCTTTTTAATGGGAGCCGCTGGGAGAGATCATCAGGGGGTTTGGACTGGGTGTCCATCAATATGCAGATGATACCCAGCTCTACCTCTCTTTCAAATCAGAACCAGTGAAGGCAGTGAAGGTCCTGTGTGAGTGCCTGGAGGCGGTTGGAGGATGGATGGCGGCTAATGGATTGAGGTTGAATCCTGACAAGATTTAAGTACTGTTCTTGGGGGACAGGGGGTGGGCTGGTGTGAAGGACTCCCTGATCCTGAATGGGGTAACTGTGCCCCTAAAGGACCAGGTGCGCAGCCTAGGAGTCATTTTGGACTCACAGCGGTCCATGGAGGTGCAGGTCAATTCTGTGTCCAGGGCAGCTGTTTACCAGCTCCATCTGGTACACAGGCTGAGACCCTACCTGCCCGCAGACTGTCTCACCATGCTCTAGTTCTCTCCCACTTGGACTACTGCAATGCGCTCTACGTGGGGCTACCTTTGAAGGTGACCCTGAAACTACAACTAATCCAGAATGCGGCAGCTAGACTGGTGACTGGGGGCGGTCGCCGAGACCACATAACACCGGTCTTGAAAGACCTACATTGGCTCCCAGTACGTTTCCAAGCACAATTAAAAGTGTTGGTGCTGACCTTTAAAGCCCTAAACGGCCTCGGCCCAGTATACCTGAAGGAGCGTCTCCACCCCCATTGTTCTGCCCGGACGCTGAGGTCCAGCGCCGAGGGCCTTCTGACGGTTCCCTCATTGTGAGAAGCAAAGCTACAGGGAACCAGGCGGAGGGCCTTCTTGGTAGTGGTGCCCGCCCTGTGGAACGCCCTCCCACCAGATGTCAAAGAGAACAACAACTACAAGTGTGACATCTTAGTGTATTTTTGGTCTTTTGTTGGAAGCCGCCCAGAGTGGCTGGGGAAACTCTGCCAGATGGGCGGGCTACAAATAATAAATTATATTATTATTATTAAAGCATCTGCTTTGCATGCAGAACATTGCAGGTTCAACCCCCAACATTTCCAGGGCTAGCCCTGCAGATGGGACGCGGGTGGCGCTGTGGGTAAAAGCCTCAGCGCCTAGGGCTTGCCAATCGAAAGGTCGGCGGTTCGAATCCCCGCGGCGGGGTGCGCTCCCATTGTTCGGTCCCAGCGCCTGCCAACCTAGCAGTTCGAAAGCACTCCTGGGTGCAGGTAGATAAATAGGGACCGCTTACTAGCAGGAAGGTAAACGGCGTTTCCGTGTGCGGCTCTGGCTCGCCAGAGCAGCGATGTCACGCTGGCCACGTGACCCGGAAGTGTCTCCGGACAGCGCTGGCCCCCGACCTCTTGAGTGAGATGGGCGCACAACCCTAGAGTTTGTCAAGACTGGCCTGTACGGGCAGGGGTACCTTTACCTTTTACTGAGCTAGATGGTCTGATAAATGAGGTTGACAAAGAGTAAAGGTATATTCTGGGGCAAAAAAAAGGCTGTGAATATGAAAAACAAAATGGATATTTAAGCTACTTACAGTTTACGGTTTGGACATAGTGCCTAACTGGTTAATTGGGGGGGGGGAGTAAGCTTTCAGTCTCCTTGGGGCAATACTGGGGGGGGGGGCAGAGAGCACACAAGCCAATAAATATAGTTGATAATTATGTCTGAGTAAGGTAACTCCAACCTATTCCTCAAATAATTCTTTCAGTTTTCTCTGCAATCTTCCTATCCTTTGCTCCTTTCACACCTTTGTCATCTAACCGTCTGTTTTCCTGGGCTTATTTCCTACTTTGGGGCTAGTTTTCATTTTGTTTTTTTAAAGGCCTATTTTTCTTCGCAATAACTGTCTCTTTCTCTTGATTTCAACATGTTTGTCAACACTGTTGCTAACATTCCAACTCACAAAGCAACCGCCTGCACATTCTCTCTAAAGATTTAAGCCCCATTAAACGCAGCAGGATTTGCTTCTGAGAAGACTTTCTTAGGGCACTGTTCTACTCTGCTGCAGTTTACCTGGAAGTAAGCTCCACTGAAAATGATTTGGCTTCTCTGCGAGTAAAGAGAGGTGCTTAGCATCAGGCCGCAGAATACTTGAACTGCAACACTTCACCGTGCCCTAAGAGATCTTAGCAGCGACGCAAAATATGCGAGAGCTCGTCAAATTATGGGAGCTGTTTATCTCCGATAGGTGGCTTGGCATAGTCCTTTCCCCCTACAGTGAATAGCTAAAATAATGAATTTGGCTTTCTACATGTGAATACCCTTCACCATTCTTTCTGTTTACAGATAGCTAATTAAATAAAGGACAATAAACAGCTTAACTCCAGGATGGTTTCAGGATGGTACAGGGCCTTTTCTCCTTTGTAGCACGTTTCCAAGACACATCCGACTGCCTTGGCAAGTATGCGTCTCGCAGACAACCTTGGAAAAGGCTGCCCCAGATTCAGGAATTTGCTCCCAAGCAAATATCCCCATTCTAAAGGCCTCCAGCCGGCAGTGTCCCCATTAGAGGGGAAGACGCTTGCAGCAGTGGGGCACGTTGGCGATCTGGTTGGTTTATGTGGCAGGGCGGATCCGGATTGTATGGAGAGCTCTAGCATGGAGCTTAGAGACCGAGCTGCCCTCCATTCAACACATCCCTCGCTCTTGTGTGCTTTGCAGAGCTGTTCAACTTGGGTTGCGCACAAAGAAACCCTTTTGTGTAGCTTTGTGTATGTTCGGTTTCAAAGAAAAGTAGTTCTCCTTTTTTAATTGTGTGCGGTAATTTTTGCCAACAGAATGGCTTTCCAACTCACGAGGTTCCCGACAATGACTAAATACATGGGGTGGGGAATTAGGGCCATTTCTGCCCCTTTTCATGCCGCTTCCAGGTTTGCGGTGATGTACATGTGTGCAGTCGCATGTGCCTTGAACGCATGTAAATGGGGAGTTGCCTGGAATAGGGCTTGTAAAAGAAAGCAAATAAAACCCCTTGACTTCCACCTGAAAGTTTGAAGTGCCACTACTCAAACCTAAGACATCATATTCCAAAATAATTGCCGCCGAGTCCAGTGAGCTTAGAGCTTGTTTGCCCACTGTGTTATATTTTATGTGTAGATCATTTCCGCACATCTAAGTCCTCTGCTTGAAAGGCTCTTGGGAGCCTGTATTTGAAGGTGTCCTTCCTTTGAAGAACTCTCTGTCC